AGGAGCATGGGGTCTCAGGTGTGGCAACAGCAGAGAGAGGTGGGTTCCAGGGTAGGCGGGAGAAGCTGTCACATGCATGTGCTCACCCATGTCTTACATGCTACTCTGTGCTCACCTGCATCTCATGTGCCCCACTGTGCACTCATACCATGCTTGGAGTCTGCTTCTGACCACACGTACTGACATCTCCATGCAAGGCCTCTGTCATCCGGGTCCCCCTGGCCTCTGCAAAGCTCTGCCCTTCCCTAACCTGAACCCATCCCCTCATAATGGATGTAATGTGTTTGTGTTTCTGGGTCCACTTTTCAGCTTTTCTCAGTTATGTTTGAAATATAAAATGCCCATATCTAAAACCACAATTCTTTTTTTTTTTTTTTGGTTTTTCTCCGGTACCAGGAACCGAACTCACGACCTTGCGCTTGCCAGGTAGGCGCTTTTGCCGCTGAGCTAAATCCCCAGCCCCAAAATGCCCATATCTAAGACATGCAGTTCAACATGCTCTGACTTACGGATGCAGCCACAGCTGTGGCTGTGGTCACGATGACACATCCTTCCCCCTAGCAGCGCTGTCCTGTCACTGGTGACATGGCAGGCTTTGGAGTTCAAGGGAAGTGGACCAGTGGTCCCTTGCCCACCTCACTCATGCAGTGATTCTGAGGTTGTTGGGCAGGCCTGTCGTAAATCACTCACTGCTGACTTGGTGATGGTTGGCAGCTGCCTCCAGGTCCCCAGAGCAGCAACTTGATCCAGTGAGGCAAGGAAGCCCATCTGTCCCTCACACTACTTGTTCTGTAGGGCAGATCCTTGACATAATTGCCCTGTTCCTCCACTTCTCCTCAGTGCTGGGTATGGCCAGTGTTTCTAAGTTGTACCCATAATTTAATTTGATCATATTAAACGAAATGCCCAGCCTTCAACAAGCGTGAATAAAGGCCTTATTTCTCATCACCCCCTCCAGAATTTCTGTGATTCCTAAGGTTACCTGTGGAAACCAATGTCCCTCCTGGATGGCTGGTGTAGATGTCAGGCCACACATGCCTGTTCTCCTCATGGTCCTCAGGGCAAATTGAGGACCCCACATGCCTGTCCTCAGGCATGTCTTGTTCCCATCTAGTATCCAAGGCCCTGGGCCCTGGTAGAACCTCAGCATTCAGCCAAAACCCTTCCTGCTCTGAGGCCGTCACACCCAGAGGCTGGCCTCACACTTCCAGCGTGGCCACACTATGAACATCACTGTCCTGTGCTGCCCTGGCTGTAATGTTCCTGTCCAAGCCTGCTTCCCTTGGGGCCGGCAGAGTCTCCCATGGACAACTGTCTTTTGTAAACCTGGACCTATGCAGAGCTGACATTCAAGTCCTTTGGAGGGAGGCCTCCTCCCACTGTGCCTGCCCATGGCCCCTCCAGGCAGCCTTTCTGTGCTTCTAATGGGATCAGAGTCCCCAGGTCCTCTCTCCCTGCCTGTGGAGCAGAGGGCCATCCTCTAGCTCTCTGCATCAGAGTCTAGTCCTCCCTGGTACCATGTTTCTGCCAGTGTCACCGCTCTGTGATGCCTCCATCCCCAAGGTCCCAGCTGCTCAGAGGCAAGGGGGAAACAGCTCTGGAAGCCACGTTCAGGAACACAGGAGCCAGAGGCTTTGGCCCTGGCCATTGTTTTCCTAGGAGCAAACTTGGCTGTTGCTATTTAACTCATCACAGTTTGGCCTCCGGCCCCTGCTGAAAAGGCTGGCTGGAGACCCAGGCACACAGCCAGGGTGGCCTGGCCGGCAGAGCTGTCTTGCTTTCCCTGAACCCCTGCCGCCTTCTCAATGCTGTGTGGAGGACGATGGTGTGGTCTTCTGACCTGCAGCAGCCAGGCTGGGAGCTACCGGTCTCCTGTTGCTCATGGCAACTGCTGTTTGGGGGTAAATTGTGTCCTGAACTCCAGGCTGGCCGGATGGCAGCATCCCACACTGGAACCATGCTGATGTCCCCTTCCTTCCCTTAGGTCCTCGGAGAATGCTCTGAGTGGACTCTGCCAGTTTGAAAGGGAAGGAAATACCACGTGCCTCACAGGGTCAATGGGGCCAGATGTTGCCTGAAAACAACTTCATACATCACAGCCATAGAGCCAGGCTGAGTTGTACAGGCACTATCACAACGAATGTCATCGGGAATCTGGAGCAGAGTCTTGTGAGTTGGTCAGTGAGACCAGGCCCAGCAAGCCTGTGGGTGGGAAAGATGGCACCAAGGCTGCCTCACATGGAGCTCAAGCTCTGCATGAGAACAGATTCTCACATGAGCACTCCACAGCTTTAATGTGCCCAAGTTTGTCACTAACAGAGCACAGCCCTGCAGAGGAATCAAAGACCCACAGAAGCTGGGCTGCACTGTAGGAACATCAAGGTCCAGGTACCTGGTCCTGGGTTTCCTGAGTGATGGTGTTTCCACAACACCCCTGGTGTCCCTGTGCCTTCATCCCAGTGAGTGACACTGGGGACCCCAAGGCCAGTCCTGATGGGAGGTCTGGGTTTTTCAGCCCCTGCAGGCAGGATAGGACCCTGATTATGGTAGACCTGAGAGGGTGGACCAGCTTGTGTGTGGGGGGTGAGGTCTGCCCTGTCAACCCCTCCCCTAGAACAGTGAATCCCAAGATACCTCAGACCCCATGCCTCACCCCCTCAACCTGTACTCAGGTCTTGCCTTGCCCCCTCTGCCTCTGGGAGTGGCCACAGTTCACTGAGCTGAGCTGACTGCTCACTGTCTGGGCAGCACCCAGGCTAATACATCACTTCCCCTCCACGCTGTGCCTCCGTGGGTCGCCACTCTCCATGCAGGGCTGAGTTTGGAGAGTGGGAGTGGGTAGACCAATGCGGGTGAGGTCACTGTGCAGAATTTATAAGGGTGCCAGAGCCTGTGCTCAACCTCCGGGCCGCAGGAGCCTACACCTGGCTGAGAAGAGGAAGGGACTGAGGGACAAATCTTACTGGAGGCCCACAGTGGGGAGGCAGCTCCCAACCTCCCTGCTGGCACTGGGGCTGCAGGCTGTGGACCTGGGGAGGGTGCCACTCATGGCCTCTGGGGTCACAGGTCAATGTGTGGACGATGGTGATACTGGAGGGGCTGTGTGGGCATAGGGTGCAGACCCTACGATGTGCATTTCTGGGGTATGGTACAAGCAGCCAGGGGGGCATGTGGCCTTGGGCACTCATGACTCAGAGGTGAAGCTGAGAAACAAACTCCCTCCCACCCCAGCCCCATGACATCACATTTCCCAGTTATTTAGGACACTGTGCCAACCCCTGCCAAACAGAGGCCACACCCGGCTTCGAGCAGGAGGCAGGCACTCTGGGCACAGGGCAGGGCAGGGCTACAGGCTCATCTGTGCCTCCCCACACACCAGGTCCCAAGGCTGTTCCTGGAATCTGCATTCCTACTCCTGGGTTCCCTGCTGCTCAGTCCTGAGAGGACCCGGTGGCAGCACCAGGAGATGGGGAGGATTCCAAGGAAGATTCTGAGGAAGATCCAGTCTGCCAGGGCCTGCCCTGCTCCTTGGGGGCTCCCTGTGCTCCTCCCTACACCTGTCCTCGAGGGGAACTTGCCCTCAGCCTGCAGGTACACTCTGGGGTGGGGCTGGGGAAATGAATTCACAGTGGAGGCCAGAGTGAGGTCCCTACCTCCATCCTGCCCAGAGGTCCACCTCACAGTCTCAGCAGCCTCAGTTTAGTTAAGGCCACAGATAAAGATCTATGGATGGACAGGTATGACTGCCACACCTCAGAATAAAGGATGGTAGCAGAAATAGAGACTACTGTGGATGAGGTCAGGGGCCTGTGTAGATGGACTCAGGGGCATCCCTGACCTGGGGAGAGGAGACAGGACCTGTGGATGGGGAATGGGGTCCTTAAGAGTGGGGGATGGGGTTAAGACAAGGTCCACGGGTAGGGGACTGGGTCCTTGGATGAGGGCGCAGAGCAATTTGATTGGGGACAGAACAGTTGGCTGGGGTACAGGGTCCTTTGTTTGGGGCAGGGTCCTTCATTTGGGGCAGGGTCTTTGGTTGGGGGACAGGGTCCATGGTTAGGGCAGGGGCCTGGGGAACAGGGTCCTTGGCTAGGGAACAGGGTCCACAAATGGGAGGCAGGGCCCTGTGTGAGAGAGACCCTTCCTTGGTGATGAGGTAAGACTGGTGGACAAGGGGACATAGAACCTGCTAAGAGGGGTCCTGAGATGGGGCTTCTGTCCTGTCCTGGGCCCTGGAGCTTCCCTCAGGAATGACTGAGGCTCATTGTGACCACCCATGTGAGGCATGTCCTTTTACCCAATGAATGGGCAGTGGAGAGTCCAGTTGCCATGAGGTCATCCCAGCTCAGGGGATAGGAGTGGCCCCGGTGCCCACCATCCCTGAGCCTGGCACCTGCTTTCTTGCTTACAGGCTGCAGGATTTTCTTATCCATCACATGGGGTTTTCCATCCCTGGGGATACCACAGCCTGTCAGAATCAATGTCCATGGGCTCTCCCTGGGGGTCTGACCTCCGTTCCCCACAGAAAGCCACTCCAAGGAGGTTGGAGCCCAATACCATATGACCACAGCAAAGATTAGGCCTGCACGGCAGAGGGGGAAGCCCAGAGGTCACCCTGATCTGGGCCTGCAAAGCAGCCTGGCCATGCCACATTGTGTCCTCCTAGGACTTTGGGCCGGAGGCCAGGGATTCTCTCTTCCTGTCCCTCGTGTCTGGCTGGTGATGCTGACATCTCTGAAAGGGAAGATACTTGGCCAGCAGGGCATCACGAGTGGCTCCTGCTGCACTTGTTCTCGTGGGGCCCCTGTGTCCACCCTGATTCCTGCTGAGTGAAGTCACATGGGAATTCCCTCGGGTCCCACCTAGCCAAGGCTCAGAGAACCCAGGCCAGCTGGAGCTGGGGTCTGTGTCCTGGGCTGTGGTGGTGCTGGCTGCTCACCTGCCCTCAGCTGCAGCCTGTGGGCATCACCGTGCCTGGTTGCAACCAAAGCCATGGTGTGTTCACATTCCAGTCTGTCTTTACTAAGGGATGGCTGAGGGTTAGTCTGTTACAGGTAGAAAGCCAGGCAGCATCCCATCTTGGCCGGTTCCTAGGACTGAAAACGGAGAGCTTTAGGGAAGCACAGCCACTTGGGGGCACTGTTGACTAGCCTGCCGCTGTTGCTACACAGGACGGGAAAGCTGGACTCCGACTAGCGGCAGCCCTGAGCACTTTCACCTTGCCTGTCTGCATCCTCTCTGAGCAAGAAGTGATAGTCTCTCGCCTCAGCTGTGAAGGAGGGATGTAGGGACCGGCTTGCAGGGTTGAGGGGTGATTAAAAGGGGCAGAGTTGATGGGACAGGGCCTGCAGCTTCTACACTGGCCATCCCACCTCAGGTCATCTCACCAGTACGTCCAGGGAGCCACCTGGTGACCTAAGTAATTGTTATGAATAATAGATCAATCAAGACCTGCCTGCTGTCCAGCAAGCTGGATGAGGCCCTGTGGCACCCAAACAGTGTCCGTTCAACAGCTACCCATGAAGGACATCAGGGAAATCACTGTGATAAACTGGAAACTCGTAAAGGTGAGACCCAGGTGCAGTGATCTCAGCTTTGCAAAGTCCATCTTCATCCACCTGCCCAGTTTCTAGGAATGCACAAAAACCTAAAGCGGGTAGACAGACATAGCTGGCACCCTTGGACAGGGGGGTCTCCACCAAGCTGCAGCCCTGGAGCCACGCCAAGGCCATCATTTTAACTAATTTAGGCACATGGATGGCACCCCTGCCTGAGCTCCAGCACCACCAGATTCTGCTGAGCCACAGTTATGCAGACGTGGACTACTGCAGAGCCTCTCCTTTGCAGCGGCAGGAAGACCCCTCTACTAAGCTCTGGGCTTGTCACTCCTGGGAGAAGGCCACTGCCGCTGCCCAGGGATCTGAGTGGGTGCCATACTAAGTAGCCCTGCTAGGCTGCCTCTGCAGGAAGGAGGAAGGGCTCAGCCACTGTGGCTGATCCATGGAAAGAAAGGTGTGAGCTGGGTCTCAGTTGCCTGGAAGTGGCCGTGACCGAGGCTCGGAACATTTCCCAGCACGCTTTGGCACCCATGGATGGACAGTGGGTGGAGACACACCAATGATGGCACAGTGGCAAGAGTCCAGGGGCCACGAGCAGAGGCCTCCAACCCACCCAGGCTAAGGGGATCAACCAGCTGTTTCCAGAAGCTTCTCTGAATACCTTTTCAGTTGGTGACAGCTGGAGGGCTGTGGGTGGTTTAATACTATGTGCTGGGACAAGCAGGGCCACCTCCATTTGCCTGTGGGCCTGCTCAGAAGGTTGTTCCTGGTCGGGCTTCCCACTGGGCACTGGCCTTCCTGATTGCCAGCCCGGTCAGTGCCTCCCAGGGTCAAAGCAAACTGCCCAGGTGAGCTCTGTGGGCACAGCTCTCTGAGGAACCCCATCTCTCCCTGGCCAGGTAACCTCTGAATTTTCATCTGAACCCCATGAAACAGACCCCTGAATCCCCGTGGGAGCTGCAGAGACAACGAACAATTATCTCTAGCCTCTGATCTCTGACCTCTGGGGGCCTCATCGCCGTTCTTGCCCTACTGCATGCATATGTGCTGCACACACGTGTAAATGCATGATAGTGGGCATATATGCTGTGTGACCTGGTGCACTTGTGCAAGTGTGGCTGGGCACTTGCATGCAGGTATATAGGTTACATGTGTGCACATGCCTAATTGTGGACATACGTGGTCTGTATATGACTTCAAGCACTCCACACATGTACCAGCATGTGATGTACACATGTGCACATGCATGCTTTATGTGAACTGCAAGTGCGCATATGTGAACACACTTGTACCCATGTATGATAGCATGTTGGTGTGTGTGACTGAGTATATACATGTGCATGGGTGTGCACACATACATGTTAAGGTGTACTTGTGAATGTGTATGCATACATGATGCAGGTGAACTATGCACACATATGAACATATGCATGTACCCATGCATGCACTGCAGGTTGGTGTACATACGTGTACATGTGTGCACACATAGATGTGTTAGGGTGTGTATGTGTGCATGTAAACCCACATGTGCAGGTGTTGGAGCGTGTGAGGATGCCTGTGGTGGGTGCGGGCAATATATCTTTTGGGTGTGGTCCTAGGAGGCTGAGTCGCAAACACTGAGCTAAGGTCTGACTCAGCTGCTCAGCAGGGACAGGAACAGCCCTCGTCATCTCCTCCTGCATCCTCTGCTCCTGCTGGAAGGCCTCTGAGTGGCCATCTGGTTCCCTTGGTCCCTTGCACCCAGCTCTGAGGATACTCCCCCAAAGCCCAGGCTCCTGGGTCCTCACTGGGGCTGGGACCCCTGGCTGCAATCAGGCTGTGCCTGTGCCACTGCTAGGCAAGGAGACCACATTGCAGCTGCATGGGGGAAATACGGTTGGCTCAACAGAACAGTGGGCACTGCAGCCCTCCTGATGCACCCTGGGCTTTGGACACAGGAGTCTTCTCAGGCATGGAGCAGTGCCTTCAGCAAACCCACACCTGCATGTCCCACTTGAGCCTCTGCTGAAAACTAGATGCTAGGGGTGCTGATAAGGAGCACCTGCATTCCCAGATGCTGTCCCAGCTCTGGAACACAGACAAGGGTGAGTCAGTGGGCTGCTGGGAGTCCTAGCCGTTCCCAGGGACCTTGCTCCCACAGAGTACCCACAGTGCCTCTGTCTGCCCTGCACCTGGCCTTTGGCTGCACCCCAGTGGGGTGGTGTCCGTCACCTGCCGTCAGCAACTGCAGCACCCGTAACAAGTAAGCCACCTTCCTACCTCTCCCTGTCTCTCATGTCCTACTTTTTCCACGTATCCTTTAAAAGATCCACCACCCTGCAGCCAGGGCTCACTCCTAGTGGCTCTCTGTCCCGTGCATCTCAGGGCTGCTTAGGGTCTCTGCCATGATAGAATAGTCTGCCCCTTGTCCCCCCAGCTCAGCTAACTCTGTGAGATGGAAGTGGAAAGGTGGGAGCTGGGTAGAGTCGTGGGTGGGACAGGTGTCTGACCTATTCCCAGCACCTGCCCACCCGCAGGTCCAGGTGAAGGTACCTTCTCCAGGGCCACCACACCATGCTTGGCCTTCCTTCTGGTGGTGTATGGGATGCAGCACACCCAGCTGGTCTTTGTCCTGCAAGCCAAGAGTGGGTGAGTGAGAAACCTTCCACCAGGGCCACACAGGCACCTCTGGTAGTGGCCCTGCCATAAACATGCCCTCAAGTGCCTGCAACTGAGTCCCAGCGCAGCAGGCATGGGGCAGATTCCTGTTGGGCTCCTGTCCTGTCCTGCTCCAGAGGGCTCTTCAGATACAAGATTTTTGCTGACACAGCCACACACGTCCCAGGCCCCAAACCAGGGGTGCAGGACAGGAGTCCCTCAAACATGGTGGCAGTGGCTCCCAGTTTCCCACTCTGCTCAGGGCCAAAACTGCCCACGAGGCAGCAAGCAGGCCACTAGTGCATGGATGCCCAGTCCCAGTGCCCCCAGGGAAAGGGGTGCAGGTCGTAGGAGAGGGAAGGGGAGGAGCCAGCCCTAGAGCCCAGCCAGGCTAGGCCTGTGTGGCAGCCCTGCCACGGTAGTCCTGGGAGAAGGCCCAGGCCAAGACCCTTGGACTTGATTGTCCATCCCCTGAGGCAGAAAAGAAAGCCGCCAAGTCGAATGCCCTGTGGTCAAATCTGTCACCAAGAAATGAGAAAAATAACTCTCCCACACATGGGAAGGACCAGGGAGAGCCCAGAGCTGGGAGAGTGGCCAGGGGCCAGGCCAAATTGAGGAGGCAATACAGCAAGGAGCTTCTGAGGGGGACCCCTGGAGCTCCTCACAGAATCCTTCCCCAGCTCCAGAGCTGAAGAGCAGGAGAGATGACAGTAAGGACTCCACAGAGGGCCACAGCAGACCACTGCCCACATCCAAGGGCCCACTTGCAAGGCCCTGTCCCTCCAAGGGCTGACGTCATGAGAGCTGCCCCTCCATATGCTTGTCCACATGTCCTCAGCCACCTGAAGGCCAGGTGTCAGTGTCACAGACTGATGGAGAAGTTTCTCCTTTACAACATTTGTTAGCAAATAAGCCAGCGTGTACTACACTGTTAATTCTGAGGGATGAGAGTGGGGTAATTGCCATTTTTGTCTCTTATTTCTCTGTGTTATCTAGAATAAAACAAACTAGATCCATAGGCCCTGTCAGAGACAGGCATCTTCTGACTGGGTCCTAATGTCCTTGTGGCTGAGGCTTAGGGCCGAGGGAAATCTTGGCTTTGCTGGTCCACATGGTGTCCCCTGGGAGGCCTGGGTCATCAGGACCAACGTGCCCTTTGTCCTAGCAGGCCTGAGCCTATGCTGAGAGGGGCCTGCCATGCCATGACAGCCACATGAGGCCTCCAGCCCCAGGGACCAAGGTGGGGCTTCTGCAGCTCAACTCAGAATGGAGACACCAGCACCACCCACTGTTACCTTCTGCTTCCTCTCATCCCTCTTTTCTGGCCATGTTGCTGGTGCAGGTGGGAGATGACACGTGGCTTCTGGAGTGAGGTGAGCTCTGGGGGAATCTGTCCCTAAACCCTTGATGGTTCATAGCCCTGCTGCTTGCCTCTCAGCTTCTGCAGCCTCAGTACGCACTGGGTCTCCTCATGTGCCCAGGGAGAAGAGGGCTCTGCCCCCTGCACACCTGGCACAGTGAATGCCCACAACCTGTGCCAAGGATAAGCCCCATCTGTGCCCAGATCCATCGCGTCACTCACTCATCTTCCGACAGGTCCCCTGCGTCCATCTGGGCCCGCATCTCCTCTCTTATGGCACAGGTGATCACCTGTGGGAGTGGCAGGGGAGGTTCAGGGGATGGAGTGTCAACCTGAGAGAGCTGTCCAATCCACAGGCTGGGGACAGAGACAGCAGAGAGGCCACCAGATAGACTATCAGGTAGAAACCCCCAGCTGAGGACTTTAGCCACAAGGTACACCCTGAGGTGGTCTCCATAGCCCCTGGACTGCAGGTCAGGTGATCTGGCCCCTTGGTCCAACTCTGCCACTGGTGACCCTCCTGAAAGGCCTTAGAACCTTAGCCCCTGAGTAGCCTTGTGGGGAGTTAATGGCCAGTTGTGGTCTGAGGGCAAAGGGCATAAAAGGTACAATCTAGAAGGAAGGACCTTAAATTTACCAACAGAGAACTTCAAGGAACTTGCAAAAAAGATGACTGCTCACTATGGCACAGAATCAGAGGGAGAGACCAGGTAACTGTTGTAAGGGCCCGGATAACCCAAAACAAGGTCCAGGACTCTGTTCTGAGAACTCTACAAACAGCCCTGGCTGGGGTGGTGGTACCACTGTGATTCCCATTCCACAGAGGAGGGTCTGGAAGCATGGGAGGTTGTGGAGTTTTTTGAGCAGTTAGAAGCAAATGTCCACATTTCCCAAGGCCAGATCTGCTAGCTCCCAAGCCATGCCATTCTGCCACACCAGCATGAATCCACAAGGGATTCTAGGGCCCATGGACAGCTCAAGGGTTGGACCCACATCAGTGTGGGTGTGCATGGGAGTGAGAAAGGGTGAGGAAGAAGTGAAAGTGTACCCAGCACTCCCCTGACAAGGCCACTCTTCGACTCCAGGGGTGTCCCTGGAGCTGCTTGCCCTGGGTCTCTGCCTCACCCTCCAAAACAGCCTGCGAGAAGGCACATTTCCAGAAGACCTTTCTGGCCTAGCTTGGGCAGTGCAGGCACTTTCCCCATGTGCAATTTGTCTTTCTTATCTGCAGGATTTTGTCTGTACCTCCTCAGCGCGATCTCCCAGGTCAATCTCCACAAATGCAGATGGTTTCTGTGGGTGGAAAGAAGGATGGTGAGTCTGGAGGAAGCAAACTCCTTTGGACTTTGAGGGAGCCAGGTCTGGGTGGTTAGCACCAGACCCACTATGCAGCCAGTGGGAGAGGGTGGCTCCTGAAAAGCTGGTGGAGGGGTGATAGCAGGCAGACTCTGAATTCTCCATGAGGCCAAGTCTGGCTGGAGACATGCTCCATGCTCACCCCTCCACACAGACCCCATCACATCCTGAGACCCCAGAGCCACCTTTGTCTTCTAGGCGCCAATGCCTCCAGGTGACAGGGCAATGCCAAGACCAGAATGCCTCTCCCATCCCTGCTCACTGGGGCATCACTCAGATTCCCAGAAGATGAGGGCACACACTGGGTAGCACGGTCCCATGGCCCTGTGTGTGGCTGCCCATGGCCTCTATCCAGGCACCATAGGTGGCCCAGAACCACACCAAGGCATGCCTGCTGCAAAGTCCGGTGACAATGTGTCCAGCTGTCTCCACTCCCCCACATGATCTTGGAGGGAGAGTAGATGCCACATCCTTTCATGGAGTGCCCTGTGAGTATTCCCAAGATGGCACCAGAGCAAGGGGTGTGGGCAGGTAGAGGCTCAACTCCTCTCAGGATCCCATGGTTGTAGTGATGGTGCTCACGGTAGTTGGAAAGGATGCCCTGCATCAGGTAGGAAAAGGGCTTCACCTACAGGCTCTCAGGGTGAGGAGGGTGTGGCCCAGCCACTGACATGACCCATAGACCACAAACCCACAGTGCCTGGTGGCTTGGTGGGACTCGAGCATGACGTAGCTGACTTCCACTGCTGAAGTATAAAGCGCTTGCCTCTTTTTCCAGAAGGCTGACCAGCTTCACAGGCTCCAGCTCCTGATCCTCCTGTAAGCCCAAGAGAGACACCAAAGTAAGTCCCAGGGAGACAGCAGTGTTTGTCCAGACACTGCACACGGACATGTGCTACTGACCTCAGCTTCCCTGGAGCACGGGCCCATGCCTTCCCGCTCCTCCTTGGTGCTGGCCTCTGTGCTGCTTCTCTCAGTCTCTGGCTGCAGTTTCCCACTGTTAGGGTCCAGGGTTCCCTGGGCATCCTGGTCTTTCTCCTTCCTGTCTTCCTCTAGGTCTACCTGACTGTGGGCAGGGAAAGAAGGGTCTGGGATCAGTGTCTCAATGAGATAGCTTCAGGTGATGTCTCTTCTCCCCCTTAGGCTGCTCCCATACTGAGCATTGGGCCCTGGAAGTGGGTAGCTGCAATGCCATACTGTGGCAGAGGGCCAGGACACAATAGTCCTCCAACCAGTGGTCTTGTCTGAGACAAGAGACACCTGACTGCCCCTGGTGAAGGGCAGCAACCTGCTTACAGCCCACTGGGCTCATTTACAGAGCTACAGCTAATGTCACTTGAACCAAGACACAGCCCAAGGGCATGGCCATCCATCAGCAGATGCAGGGCTTCCTGCATGGAGACCACACTCAAAGAGGCCAAGGTAAGATGGAAGGTGGAAATGAGGGACCACAGTGGCTTCCCACCATTACCAATTTGGGACTTGGTTGGCTGTGGCTCTCGACTTTGTGGACATGGTGGCGGGGACACATCCAGTTGTGTCATGGGTAGTAATGGTCTCAGCTCAACCCTGCCCCATACGTGACCATCCCCTTATGACCAGTCAGCTTTCCCTTTCCTGACTTCATGGTGGGTGGGACCCTCCCTGAGGCCTCTTGTAACAGCTGGGTCCCAATCTTGGAGCAATGGTGATGTATTGGTGTACCAGAGAAGCTCTGGGGCAATTCAGTGACTTCAGCCCCTTGACAGCTGGGGGAGGTGTGCAGAGGGTGAGGCCACCTGACCAAGTGGCCAGATGCTACCCTCCGAGTCCCTGCCATCCTGATATCTGGTCTTCAGTTAGTCATAGTGCTGCACCCCCTCCCCTCAAGATGAGCCTCTGTGGGCCCAGCAGACCCCAGATAGGATAACTCCTCCTCCCCAAGGGATCTGGGGAATGTTCCCTGAGATGCTGCTCTGACACCTTCAGGCCAAGCTAGCTGGGCAAATAGGTAAGGAGGTCACCGTTTCTTGGTCTCCTATTTCTGGAGCCCTGTAGATGCCCTAGGGGATGCTCAGTACCCTACAGAGGTAGACAAGGGTGCTTACCCACTGGCATCATCTGCATCCCTCCTTGGGTCATGGCTCTGATCTTCAGACTCTGAGAATTGAGGAGGGAGCTGGTCAGTGCCACCCGATGCCAATATATACCATTCCTGAGTTCCTATGGCTCATTACTCCGTGGCTACCCCAGGAGGTTCAAGGTCTCTTGACACTGCAAAGCACAGCTAAAGGGTTTCCCGCCTCAGCCCCAAGCCCATGTTCCAAACTCTGCCTGCCATCTCTACCCTGGGTATTTCCTCACTCCCATGCTTGGCCTGGAGCCTTGGGTCAGCCATCCTCCACCCACAGTACAAGGCTGTTCCCACCCTGTGCCTTGCATACCTGTCCTGTGTCCCTGCTCTGTGTCCCCACCCAGGGTCTTCACTCTGCTTCCTTGCCCTGCCCCCACTCCATGGGACTCACAAAGGCTCCATTGCCCCCAGTGAACATTTGAGGTCCAGTGTCTCCAATCCCCTCCCTTCCTCCCAGCACAGCTGCCTGGGGCAGAGTGGGTTCAGCAGGGGGCTTTCTCTTGGGGAGGACAGAAGGAAGTACAGAGGCTCAGCAGGAGTCCTCAGGGGAGAATCACAGGGCATCTTAGGTCCTTGTCCGTGGACCTGGCTGGGGGAGGGGGCCCTGTGGGGCAAGAGGAGCAGGAAGAGCTTCCTCTAGCCTCTATTCCTTGGTTGAGCAAGGAGTTGTGTCCTAGCGACCCTGGGGGCACAGGCCTCACGGGCTGGGCTTCAATGGGAGCCTGGGTGTGGGGCATAGCTAGCCTTGAAATGTTTCACACAGAACTGGCCTGGGGACACTGGGATGGAGGAGCCACTGCACCCTCTGCTGCACGTACCAACTGGCCTGCCCCTCTCCAAATGCCATTCCTGGCTGGGATGCTGAGTGCTCTACTCTTGTGAGGTCAGTCCCACCAGCTCAGCACACTGGGCTTGGGCTGTGTCACTACCACTTCTCAGCCCATTCATCCTGGGCCCCTGAGGAGGTGGCCGTGGGCTCTCTGCTTGTGGTTTTCAGAGGTTCACTTCCAAGGGTCCAGGCTGTGGTGCCTCTGGACAGCTCTCAGGGTCATAGTCCTCCCAACCCCTGTGACTCAGGACTCATCCTTGTAGACAAGGATTTTAACAGCAACTTCTACGGCCCTCAGCCTGCATATTCCTGTGCCCTGTGTATGTTAGGGCATGTGGAGCAGCCAGGCAGTCTTCTACTCTGTTCCTTCCTGCCCAGAACCCCCGCAACCCCACAGTTATTTTGGGTCTGCAGGTGCTCTCCTGGGGCGCTGTGCCCTTGCCCCCAGCTCCTCCTACCCGCTGGCATCCACCTGCCCCTCTTACCAAGCTCCCTACGTGGCCTCCTGAGGTGGCTTGGGGGGTCCCCCTTCTGCAGCAGGCCACCCACACTCTTGCTCCTCTGGAGTTCCGGCCCCTCACTGGCTGCTTTGCTGAGCCCAGGGGCTGTGCCTGAGGGTGGGGCCCCAGGGCCAGGCCGGTGTCTCCTGTGTGCGGCAGGGTCCTTCTCCATCCTGACTGTAGAGGGGGGCTGCCAGCACCACTTCAAGCTGAGGCCATAGCTGACACCCTGGCTGTGGTCTCTTCTCCAGGCAAGCAACCCAGTGTTGCCAGGGACCTGTTGTGACATCACTTCTGTCAGAGGTCAAAGGTTAGCCAGTCAGCACAGCCTTCCTGGCAGGCCCAGGTTGATGGCTTGCCCTTTCCCTTGTGGCACTTTCTGTTTCCTCCACTAGGAAAGGGAAGGGATGGGGTGGCCAGCCAGGGCCCACACTCAGTTCCTGCTGGAAGCCTCTACTAGTCTCTTCCTGGAGCATTCAGGTTTCTTCCTTTTCTTCTAGAATCAGGAAAATGAGCCAAGAATCCAAGGTGGTGGATGGGGGTGGTAACTCGCACAGCAGGGACTTCCCAGGGCAAGACTGGTGCCCATGTGGGAACCAGAGTGCAGGACCACTGCCAGGGGGCCAGTCCTGGAGGCTGGAGCTGAGGTCAAGGTGTGGCAGGGGCCACTCTGCCAAGGCCCCTCCCAAGCACACACATGGATACTGTCTTTTCCCTGTGTCCCTCAGGCCATTTCTGGGACCTAAGTGCAGCCATTCTGTTCAATAAAGCTGCACCCATTCTGTTCTCTGCAGCTGAACTTGGCCAAATCATATGATTTGTCATCAAATTAAAACTTCTCTAAAGGTGCTAAAAACAACTTTGCTACAAGCAACTCTGCTCACCACAAGATATCCATTATACTATGTCCTTCAGCTAAAGCTTATCTAGTTTTTGTAACTTCTGCTTGCTACCCTACAAAAAGACAAACTCTATAATCAGTGCCTGACTTTGGAGCTTATGCCTCTGGGGTCCAACAACCTTAACAAAATTTCCTTTCTTCTCCTGGGCTCCTGACTACTGTTGCCTCAATTTTCCCGCAACAGAAGAACACTGTCATGATGATTTAAGGCCGCCGTATGACCCCTTTCACCTCCATCTCCTCCCCAAAGTCTTTGCTTCCAAATGCCTTCATGCTCTGAGGTCTGGGTGTTGGCACTTCAGCCTCTGAGTTTTGGGACCACAACTCAGCCCTTGCCCAGCCTAAGAGAGAGTGTCTGGTACCCTGTCTAGTACAGTCATCCAAGACCATGGCCTGAGAATTCAGTGGACCTAGGGTAACAGGAGGAAGCAGGCAGAGTCAGTGTACCTTTCATATGATGTGGGAACTCATAAGGAAAGCAGATCTTCTCTAGGCTGAAGAGAAAGGATTCCTGGCAAAGAGCACTGCAGAGGAGGGGATTCAGGGAGAAAGGTCTGTGTGTAGACCTCCTCCTTTCCCAGTCCTCCTCCTAGCACCTGGGCTCTGCCCCACCTCCAGGGAAAAAAGGGTCAGAGCAGTTTCCAGCAGTGCTGCCTGGGACTTGAAGGATGCGTCTGCACGTGTGGTGACCTTTTGGAGAGCTTTCCTGCCGCCCTAGGGGACCTGTAGTTGTGTTCCGTGGGATTAGGTGCAGCTCTTCCTCACATCTACACTCTCAGATGATGCCCAGAAGAAAGCTAGGAGGTGCATGGAGGATACCTTACCTCGCCAGCATTCAATGGCCATATGAAGTAAGAACAGTGGCCAGACTGAGGCTCCACAAAAGCCAAGCATGCCCCATTCCCAGACTTGGGCTTCAGGCCTTGTGTCCTCCAGGACTCTGTCCCTTCCCGCCCACTCCTAAGATCAGCCTTCCTGCCTATTACTGACTTGCCACCCTGACTCTGACTGGCATGCTCAAGTGTGAGTGAGTCCCCTGGCCCTGCCCAGCCCTGCCATGGATACTCACCTTTGGTTGACCAGGCTGGCCAGGGCATGGGTACTCTCCAACCCAGCCAGGATTCACCCAGCAGACAAGAGGTCTGAGAAGTGGGGCACACATTCCCTGTCCCTATGCCTTCCTGTGGACAGAAAGAGCTGACCAGGAGCCTCTGTCCCTATGCCAGAGTCCTGGATGCAGGACCTTCCCTATGAAATGTCTGGACCCCTACTCTTCTGAGAGAACCATCTCACTGCAGAATTAAAAAGGGCTAGAAAATGAAAGTCAAATGGAGACAAAAAACAAGGAAATGAGAACTCCCCGCTACTGGGTGCCCAGCCCAGCTGTGGGCTCCACCCAGAACCCTGCACCCTCTGCTCCAGGGCAGAGAGCAGCACCCTGAGCCCTTAGGTGCCTTGTTCTCTCTGTGCTCAGGGTCACAACCTTGGGCTTGGTACTGCCCATCCTCTGTCTTCCCATCCTCGCTGAGCTGATATGCAGCCCAGAGCCCCACAGATGGCTGCACCTGCCAGAGACTGCTTACCTGTTGGGCAGGAGACAGCACCTGTCTCTGGAGAGATGCTACTTGTGACCAGAGATGGACTCACCTATCTTTAGAACAGTGTTCTCCACCATGGCCCCTGCACCCCATGTGGTTACCAGAGAGCCCCTTGGGAAAACCAAGACATCCCAGAAAGAATAAAACATCTGTTTTAATTGGCAGTAAAATACATCACAAATCATTAGTATTTTATAAACAGAAACATTAAGTTACAAATCCAAGTTAAAAACTACAGTTCAGGGCAGCCTGATGGCTGTGTGTCCACAGTTTATTTTCACACTTTCCTCCATGACTTCTGTGACTACACACAGTTACTGTCTGCCTCTGGGATTAAGCGTGAGTTACAGCAATTCTGGTGAGAATGGAGAGAAGTTTGCATGAGGATGCGCAGTAGTGCCCAGGATCCTCTTGCAGTGCCATAGTGATGTGGCAGTGGCAGTGTGGGGTCCGCCGGAGAGGCCCGCCTTGCTCACCCAGGACCCACCACGTGCCTGGGCCCAAGGATCATGGAGATGAAGTGGGTGCTACTTGAGTCTTCTGCAGGTCTGGGACATAGCAGGGCCCCCACAGGCCCCCCCCCATGAGGACCTCAGGTGGTGTTTGTGAGATGTGTCCCCTTCCATGTGTGTAAGTTTTGATTTTCTGAGTTACCTTATATTAAAGAGCAATTAAAAATGGTCCTTTATAAAAAGTTAAGAAAAATGCATTGAAAAATGTACATTTCTATTTTTAAAATCTTCCTCAAACTATGGCAAGCATGTAAAATCTAGTTTTAAACACTGTCCAACAGCAAAACAATGTGTGCTGGATGAGGGGGCTGAGTGATCACCCAGAGGAGAGTGGACCCACACCACTTTCCCTCCCCAGCCACTCTGAACCCCACAGAGTCTCTGAGGTTGGGACCTTTGTCCTGTTCTGCATGTCCCAGGCACAAAGCAGATGCTTGGGCCAGGAACAAAACCAACGGGAGCTGGGCAGAGAGGTTGGCCACTGGCTGCAGGGACAGCAGCTTTATGAGGAGAGAATAATGCTGTTAAGGCCTGGACATGACAAAGTGGAAATTCAAGGCTGGAGTCACATGGGTATAGAGACCAACAGGGCAAAGCCAGGGATGAAAGCACAGCTCTGCACAAGGCGGGGGTCATGCCGGCTGGACTGGTAGTGGCTCCAGGCAGGAACTGGAAGTCCACATTTCCAGGTCACTCAGCTGATCCCTGGATCCCAGGAAACCAGAGTGAGCAATAAGGCAAACGGGTTCATATTCCATAAAGGCCAGGACCACCTGCTCCTGGCGGACAAGTAAGGTGCATGGCAGCTGCCTCTTGGTTCTGGAGGGAACATGAATGCTTTTAAGGTGCCACTAGCCCACTGGTCCCATGTGCACCCAGAGCATGAGAGCCTCCTGTGTGCATTCTACCCACTCTGCTCTTCTTGGTTTAAGGAGGTCAGTGCATCCTGCTGTGACTCGCTGGTGACATCCGGAAGCGTTGTGAGTCTCACATGGAATGAGTGGAGACCTCTGACTGCTGCCTGATGTAGTTCTGGAAGCTCTTGTCTCCAATGGGATGCTCCCTGCAGGGGTTGGGGGAGAGTGTGAGGCACTGCTCCCTCAATGCCTGGTGTCCTGGTGCTCTGCAAGTTTTTACCTATTTATACCAGTGATATGAGTCCATTATGATCAGCAAAGGGAAGAGCAGAGATAGTCCAAACCCCTGATGGAAGGGAAGACCAGTGGCTCTGACTTGTGGCATGCTTGGCAGTATGTGTGTACATATTGTATATGTGTACATATTGTATATGTGTACATGTATAGATTGTGGGTAAAGTGTGCACACGTGCAGAATGTGCACATATAAAATGTGTGTGTACAAATACAGGCTGTACACAGAGTGCCTGTGCTGCAGATGTACATAGATCACGTGTGCAATGTGTGTGTGCGTGTGTGGATTGTGTGTGCACCTGGACAGACTGAATGTGCATTATGTGGGTGCAGCACAGGTGGAACATGTGCATGCAAGTGCAGTGAGCTCTAGGAGGCTCAGTCTGCCTCTGTGTGTTGCTGCTGTGGCTGTGGGCTCCTTGTTGGGTACTGGGGGGAATCTGACAGGGTCAGGAGCAAGGACAGGTAGTCCAGGAGCCAGGGCAGAGCTAGCACCCAAGAGGTGCTAAGCTTAATACTGTGGGCATCCTGGCCTTGGGTGATGCCAGTGCTATCTCTGACCCCAACGTCTGGGTTACGGCACACTGATTCAGGGGTCCAGGGCTGACCCAGCTGTCCAAGCCTGTGTGCCACTGGACAGGAATGGTGCCATAGACATCTGCTCATGTAGACTAGGGCCTCCCCCAGCCCCTGGCCATTTGATTCAGTTTCCCCTAACCCCTGTCCTGCTTAGCCTGCCCCAGCCTCTCAGGTTGTAGCTGGTGACTGGGGTGAGCAGCCTATGGGATGAGTCCTCCCTGCCACAGGCCCTGCCCCTTCATCCTCAGGACAGGTACATGGTCAGTCCAGAGTCATTCCTGTGCCCAGTGCTTTGGTGGCATATGACATGGGAGGCAGATGGGACCTGGCGAAGGTATGGTGAGGCCTTGGGGCTGGGACATAGGCCAGAGGGTCTGGAGGTGTGGTGGCAGGACCAGGCACCACCTGCCAGGCAGCCCTATACTCACTGGCTACCATAGCGTGTCTTCTTGAACTTGTCCCTCCGGTGCTGCGCATGCTCCTGCTCTAGGGCCACCACGGTGGCAATGACCTGCTTCAGCATCTTGTAGGTCTCCTGGGGGTCATCGATGAGGAATGTGGAGTATTCCTCCTGCTCAGGGCCGTCATACACAGACTTGCTGCCACAGGCCTCTGTGGAACAGCACAGGGTCAGTGTGGGTCCAGCTACCACCACCTATATCTACTTTCTGCTCAACCTCCTCAGAGCCCAGTCTCCAGAAAACACCCCCCAAAAAAGGCTGCCACTCACACAAGGCAGAACCAGGGGCTCGGGAGCTATATCCTCACAGCCAGCATGTGTGAGGGCCCCATGCACCAGCCCTTCCCTCGGGATGACCTGCACGTTGCCTGCACCTCTGCCAGAGGTGGGAAAGAAGATGTCTCGCCTGGGATATAGGCTAGTTCAAAGGCCTTGGCCACCACTTCTTCCCCAGCCGCTGCATGGCCCCCACCATAGTGTGCCAGAGCTGGCAACTGCCTGGAGGCTCCACGTCCCCCTGCAGAAAGCCTGTGTGCCCAGAACACAGTCCACACACGCACACACACATTGCATGTGTGATCTATGCACATCTGCAGCACAGGCACTCTATACAGCCTGTATTTGTACACACAGCGTCTGCATCGCTGTGGCCTCTGCACTCACCCTGCATCTTCTCCAGTTTGCCCATGTAAGAGCTGAACAGTGAGTAGATACGCTCCGTTTCACGGTCTCCATCAATGTCCAGCTGGATGTTTGCTGGGAGGCCGCTGCCAACACAGAAAGAGCAAAGAATAAAAATGCTTACCTAGTGGTGCTCGCCATCACAGCACTTTCTAAAGATCGCGAAAAAAGAGGCTGGAACAACCTGCATGAAAACCTAGCCCAGGCCCTGGTGGCCTGGCAGTGACAGGCTGGCTCTGGCCATGGCTGGGTATGAGGAAGGACTGTCTAGTCCTGGGGACCAGGACTCTTGGACCCACAGTGTAAAGTGATGAGCCAAGTGGAGCAATTTGGAATAGGCTCTGGGGGGCAACTGCTCCGCCCTGGAGGCCTGGGCCTCCTGTGGCTCTCTGGGGTAGACAGGAACACAGGGGACTCGTACCAGGGTCAGATTCTGCATACTTAAACCAGACACAAGGTCCCCAGGTCAATGCACTGTGAGGACTCTGTGACAGTGTGAAGCCCTGGTGACAAGTCACATGCTCATCCCTTCCAGGCGTCAGCACATGAAGCTGTCACACTCCTGCTTGGCATGTACAAGTCACACTGAGCCTCAGGAGGAACACTGTCAGCCCCAGGGGCACAGATGTGGAGTGGGCACTCAGGCCACCCTACCAGGCCTGGTAGAGGTGACAGTCTCCGGCCCAGTTTGGCAGGAGGCCAAACTAAGACAGCTGGGGGATCACAGTGCCTCTCTTCCCAGAGAGGAAGGAAACAGGCAGAAGCAGCTCTGAAGGAGTCCGTGTCCTCAAAGCCTTGGGGCTTCAGGCAGGGGCCGAACCTGGCTCTCCAGGGTGGGTTTCCTCAGAGAGGACAAAGCCCGCCCTGACTGTTTGGCTCCCAAGGGGCCTGGGCCTGGCCCTGGCCAGCTTCCCTGCATAGTGCCCATGATGAGTGAGTTCAGGAGATGCAGGCCTACCTGGTGCACGGGGAACAGCCAGTGGCTGTGTCTGAGGAGGCTCTGCAGCACAGCCAGTGGCCATTCAGGTAGGCAGAGGGGTGGTAGACAGACAGGCGCTGCTGGTTGCGCTGGCTGACCTTAGTGAGGACATCAATCCAGTCCCTGGCTTCCACACAGTTGTTAGCCTGGATATATAGTGCACGCTCCGGCTGGATGACCTGGAACATCTGCAGACAGGAAGGAGCTCAGGGCCACCAGATCCTCAGACTGGGCTGCACCATCACTTCCAAGGGGATGCCAGCACTGGACAGGCCCTGAAGCCACCAAGCTGGCCTTCGAGCACCAAGAGAGGGGACTGGGAGGAGGTGGGGGATGCCTGCCCCTTTGGACCATGTAGAATAGTGGACTGTCTGTGTCCTGGATGGAGTGGGGTGTCTGTAGCCTTGGAGAGAGAATGCTGTGGGCACTGGAAATTAGAGCTTAGGAGGCCTGTCCAGGTCATCCAGGTGCTTCCATCAGCAGACAAGCACCCAGTGGTCCTCAGGCAGGCTCGTATCAGCCACATGGGCTTATCTTTTGGGATTCCAAGCTCATCCAGCCCCCACTTCTGGCCACTCTGTACCCCAGCCTTTGGGTGCCTGCTGCTCTCACCCCAACCCCCAGGCTCCTCATCCTCACGCCAGGTGCTACTTCCCCATGAGGTTTCTCAGAGCCCCATTGCCTTTGTCACTTACTTCCCATTCAACAAACATTGCTGAGTGCCATGTGCTATCCTAGGGACATATTACCACAGAGCAACTAGTGGAGGAAAGGCCTGACAAGGTCAGTTCTCCAACTGAGGTCAGAAAGGATGGGCTCACCAGGAAAAATAGGGGGAGTATCCCAGGAAGAGGAGGCAATGGGCACAAAGTCTAGGGCAGTGGGACACTAGGTGTAGAGATCTGCCTGGTGTGGGTCATACGACCTCAGAGGAGCATGGGGTTGGGGGAGTGAGCAGATCAGAGCCCAGGGTTGTCCCTAGGTAGCAGGGGAGGCTGGGAATCAGGACTTCTTTGGAGGCCTCTCAAGGGGAAAGGGATTTGGGAAGTTCTGACTCCATGTTTCTGGGTCTTCACAGTGCAGGAGCACCACCTTGCATGCTGCACATGTCTGTGTGCTTGTCATCCCAGAGTATATTGACACTGTCATCTGCATGGAAAGAATCTGGACCACTGTCCTGGGTTGGACCCTCACAGGGCTGTCTGCATAGAAGCAAAACTGAGTGACAGCCACTGAATAACCCTCCTGTGACCAGGATGAGAAACAGCCCACACCAAGGCCATGAGCCATAGAGAAATGTTGGACAAGGTCCTAGACCAAGGGGATGACAGAAATGCAGCCTGGACTGACCTGGCTCTGGCCTGGGAGGAGCAGGAGCCCGGGGCAATGGCCATATGTGAACACCACAGGCTCCTGCTGATGTGACACCAGCACTGGTTCAGAAAGGACACGGACATCACTCACGGAGAGAGAGAGGTGGCCAGCAATGGCACAGCACTAAATCTGGGAAGGGTACGTGGGGTTCTTATTCTATTCTTTGTGACTTTCACTAAGTTCAAAATTATATGAAATAAAAAGCCTTCAAAAAGAGATCCCAGAGCCTGTTTCTGTTGTCCTTTAAAGAGTCCTTCCTCCTTATAAGTTGATTTTCTCAGGTATTTTGTCATGGTGACAGTTGCTGTAACTGTACCTGATCATGTGGCTCAGAAAGCACTGGGACTGGTTTGTGAGTAGTCTGGGAAAGTTTGGAGATGCACACTAGAGAACCCTAGAATGCTGCAAGGGGAGCCCAGTGGGTGGTTCTGAAGTAAAGACCAGAAGGCCAAGTGTGACCGCAGATTGGCGTTTCAGACGGGGACATTCTGTGAGTAACTGGATTAGAGGCCATTCTTGCTACTGTCTGGCAAAGAACTACATTTTGTCCAGGCTGTGAGCCTCCCTTTGAAACCAGATTTAAAGCTCATAGTCTAGTTCGGGGTGGTGAACCTGTGGCATGTGTGCTGCAGTGGGCTGTTTGTTATCACTGGAAGCTTTAGAAGTTTTGATGTCACTATTTAATTCAGGCAGCATAACACTCAGGCAGTGGCAGGAACTGCTGGATGCTTTGAGTCAGGCTTACAGTAAGGATTGGGAGCAAAAAGCAGAGAATGATTTGAAAAACTTGCAGTTTGGCCAGAAAAGAAGCCCATGTAAAGTGCCAGCTAAGGAGGGTACAGATGTAAAAGAGATTAGCACCATTAACACACAAAGAAGAAGCCAGGTCCTTGGCAACAGAAAAGATGCCTTGATGGCATCTCAGAAATCAGTAAGACCCTACCTACTGCACGCTTGAAGACGTCTGTTTGAGAAGACAGCCTTGGCTGCCTGGGGAATTGTTTTCCCAGGAACTGTTTGTTGCTATTCTTTTCCCCACATTTAGTTACCCAAGCCCTCAGAGTCCACTGCAGCTGTGGTCCCAGAGGGCCCTGCTACTGCCTGGACCAGTGGCAGACCTCAGTGTTGTCCAGAGAATGCTGGTTTTGCAAGCATGCAGAATGCAAGCGCTGTGAGGGGGTGGGATGCCCCACCTAAACTTCAGGGAGAGCTTGGGAAGCCACGCAACATGTGCCAGGGTCAAAAGCCCTATGGAGGGACCCTGAGAGTGTGCCAGACTTTAGGGGTAAAGCCAGAGCTGCAGTGGAAACTGCAGGGAGCTGGAGGTGTCAGGAATGTGGAATGCAGGCCAAGGAAAGCTGCAGATGGTGAGTGAAGGGAACCAGCCCCAGACAGAGGCTATGTAAGCTATGGCCAGCAAGAACACAGCAGCAGGGCTACCAAGTCCTCTGGAGCTCACATCTCACCAGATGGCCTAGCTGCTGGACATGGAACTACAGGACAGAATGTTTGCCCTGCTGGGTTCTGGTCTTGCTTTGCTGTGATTCCTTCTTGCTGTTTTTCTTTTTTCCCTTTTGGAATGGGAACATTTATCTTGGAAGTACGTGACTTTCTTCTATTTTTATAGTTAGGGGTTTGCCTCGAGTCTGAGAGGAGACTCTGGATTTGGACTTTTGGGCAATATGGAAATGATGAGACTTTGGAAGACCCTTTGAAATGGACCAAATGCAACTTGAGTTGTGATATGGACATAAAGCTTTGGGGGCTGGCTATGATCTGGACCCTAACAACCCCCAGGCCTATGTGTTATGGGTGGCAGGGTCTGGAGGTATGGACCCTTTAGGTGAGGGGCCTAGTGGTGGAGTCAAGTCACTGAGGATGTGCCCTTTTTATTTCATATAATTTTGAACTTAGAGAAAGTCACCAAGAATAGACTAAGAACCCCATGTACCCTTCCTCAGCCCCTTCCTGTCTTTCTTTTGCCTCCCTGTTGTCTTAGGATGAGCAGCTGTGCTCCACCTGCCCCCCACGAGGTGCTGCTTCATTCACACCCACTCTGATGGAGCCAAGAACCACTCTGAATCAGGAGCAAAATAACCCTTTCTTCCTTATACACTGATGGCCTCAGGTATTTCATCACAGCAACAGAATGCTGGCTGGCACAGGAGGGTCCTTGACCCTAGGAACCTGTAAGAAAGCTTTCTTGAAATTCAGCCTGGTATGCTGGCAGTTTTAGCACCCTGGTGGTGGGTGTGGGCAGGCAGGCCGCACTCACATTTTTCATCCTGAAGGACTCCTCCTCCAGCCTCTCCACAGCCAGGATGTTCTCAATGGGGATGCAGCAGAGGGGCGGGTCTCCTGTGCAGAGAAGGCCCTCAGTGCTCTGCTCAACTCCTGAGCAGCTGGAAGTCCAGAGCCTTGGGCAGAGGTGCTTGAGCCCCTCTTCTTGCCACGAAGGAGGCCAGGAAGCTGAGGCCTCAGGCTTGAGGGAGGAGGCCTGGGTTCCAGAGCACAGGGCCACACACCCGGCCCTAGAGTCTGAGGCAGGAGGCAGATCTGTCCTAAATCCATGATGAGCTCAGGAAGGTGGCCTGCACCACATTCAGGGAAGCCACTCCCCAGCCATCCACACCATGGTCCTTTCAGTTTCAGGGAAAGCAGCCCAACATGCCATCGGCCCTGTCCCTACCACTAGCCCCACTACTGGCTCTGGGCTGGGTTTGGCTGGGTTCTGCAGAGAGATGGCCACACTAACTCTGGCAAGCAGGGACTGTGTGGAGTCCCAGTAGAGCAAGGGGCAGTTGTCCCTCCCCAGTGTTGGTGTGCGTCACAGCCCTGTGGAGGAGCAACAGAAGGATGGAGGGAAGCTCCCTCTAGGACCACAGTGTGGGTGGCCGAGGAGACTTTCCCACAGCCAGTCTGTGCTCAGGTCTGTGGGGAAGCCCACAGCCTGCAGAGTGCCATGTACCTGGGGCCACACTGCTCTGCTGCCCTGCCTCCCCAAGAGCAGAGCCCACCCAACCAGGCCCCCAAGCAAGATACACAGAACTCAGGGGTCACCTTTGCTCTTCTGGTAGGTGAATTCATGGTTGGTCAGGCGAAACCACCTCTTCTTGAAATTCTTCATCCCAAATCGTTTCCTTCCTTGTGCTCTCTTAATCATGAACCTGTGGGAAAGGCATAGGGCTGTCAGAGCATTCTGGGGCTTGAGGTGGGGGGCCCTCATCCCAGCTTTGAAATGTGTAGCTCTGCTGCCCGGACCAGCAGCACTGTACCCTCCTTCTCACCCGGCAGCCCCACCTTACCCTTCTTTAAGCAGAATGGGCTGCTCTATGCTCCTGGGGTCCCTTCTCCCAGAGGATGAAATTAAATCCAAGAACTAAAGTTAGGAGGAAATCAGACTGTCAGTCAGGCACTGAGGGCCACCTGCTCTGACAGTGGGGCAGGATACGCACATCCCCTGAGGACACCAGCAAACTCCAGGGCCTGTGTCTTTCTCCAGGGACAGCCCTGCCCTGCTAGGTCTCTTGCACTTGCTAGGACCTGCAGAGAGGCTGCCAGTGGTGGCCCAGGAGAGCCCCTGAGGGGTGTAGGACTCAAGAGCTGCCATTCTTGGCTCCACTCTGTCAACTGCCCGTGACTTGCTTGGACACGTGCTGTCAGCTGCAGGCTCTTGTGAGTGCCAACCCTTCCTCCCATCATTGTCCAGGGCTGTCCTGCATTCAGACAATAGGAGAGGAGCAGAACTGCAAACCCAGAAGGCTCTCTTCCCAGACATGGCGCCCCCCCCTCTGTGACAAGAAACCCCAGAACAGCTAGTGAGGGGCCAATGCCTGTGCAAAGGTCTTCATGACCCATGGCTTTGCCTGGACTTGGGTGTGCTGGGTCCACAGAGTGCAGGATGAGGTCTGCTGACACCACGTACTCACATTCTTCACAGCATCAGCGTACTTTTGCTCGTTGAAGAACTCATAGAATGTTGCCATGTATGACTCTTTGAAACTGGCCTACAATGAGACGGTCACCCAGTGGACAGTCAGGGTGCAGGGCCAGTCTCGGGCTCCACCCAGGACACAGCAGCACACACTAAACCATGCTTAGATCATAGACCTGCTTTTGGAAAAATAGGCCCAGGCCCTGGGAGGGGAAGACGCCAGCTGATCCTCATGAGATCTCTGGCCCTCTAGCGCCAGAGCCTGGTCTGGCAAGTGACAATGAAGGAGAAATGCAGTGTTGTCACCCAACGATGAAGAGGGCTCAGCCTCCCCTGTCCAGGAAGTAGAAGCTGGACAAGGATGAACCTGCCAGCTGCCAGCCAGCCCTAGATCCACACCCAAAACACAGCCTTCCTTGGCTCTTGCAGCTGGGGTGCAGCAAAGCCACTTAAACAAACAGCGAGGAGGCTCAGCTACCCCGCAAGGCCAGTGACAGAAGTTAGAGGGGTCAGCACCCTCAGCATGGCAAGCACCGCACCCAGCATGGGTGAGCACCATGTCTGCGTCCTCCAAAGCCAGTGGCTCCACACGGGTGAGCACCATCTGTCTCATGACCTCAGAGGGTAGACAGGTGCTCGAATGCTCTCCTTCTCAAGCTCCTGGTACAAGGCACAGTTCTGGTTTTCATTATGCTCTTTATTCTTGCAACTGCATTGAACATGCTCCCTTTCCTATGTGAGAGGCATTGTATGTATAGTTTCTAAAGAGATAAACAAAAATCAGAGTTCCTAAAAAGATGATAAACACAGACTTACAGACTTGGATTTAGACAAGCTGCCCAGAGTCTGGATTGTTTTGGAGATGAGTGTCAGGGTTCTGGAAGTCTGTGGGTCCTGCCAGAGATCGAAGGGGAAATGTGGGCTTTGTTCCAACTATAAAAGTGCATAATCAGTCCCAGTACTATAGACAACAGAACGAGTGAGGTACCTAGAAGCTGCCACGGTGCAAGCATGCGCTCTACAAGCTGCAGACAGACACAGGAGCCTAGATCAGGAAGATCCCAGTCTTGGGCTGGGTCTCTCCCAAGTCTGCCAGCCATTTCTCTGCAGTCCCCACAGAAGAGCCGATTCCGAGGCCCTCTGCCGCCAGCTGTCCCCTCCCACATGTCTCTATCTCATGCCTCTGTCTGTGATGTGGCCTCTGTCACCAGCAGAGTGTTAGCCCCATGAGGCTGCCCAGCCTTGAGTGGGGCCTGACACAGGGCAGAGGCTCCAGGAACTGGTGGATGAACGTGCACAGGTCACAGGGGTGCTGTATTTTTGTGGGCGGGGGAGGGAGGGTACAGTAATAGTGGCTAGACACCAAGGCCCTAGTCACACTGTAGAACGTTGTTTAAAGATAGCCTTGATCTACTCAGTAATGTGTGGTTGTCAGGCTGAAAGGCTGCTAACCTGCAGGAGGCTTGAGATGGCCAGAGGTTCACACCCACTTTTCTCTACCTGCCAGTTGCTCTGTAGAGAGCTAGCTGGGGCTGGTGTGTTGGCAGGTTTAGGAGAGCTGACTAGTAAGGACTCACTGGTTTACAGGCATGGCTGTTTAAGGAAGACTGACTAGTTCACAGGCTTAACAGGTTTATTGGGACTAACTGGTTTAGGGCCCTGGGACTAGGGATAGTCTCCGAGGGCCTCCTGACTAGCTTATAAGGACTGGCTAGATGAAGACTGCCTAGTTTATGGGGCCAGCTAGCACAGGAATAGGTGGCGCACAGGGCTGGCTGGTACAGAACTGCCAGGCACAGGGTTCACTGCTTACCGTGTGGTGCGGTGTCAGCTGGAAGAGGTTGGGAGATAGGATGGCGGGCGCAAAGAACCTCAGGAAGATGAAGCTGCTCACGGCCGTGTACCTGACATCCAGGTCATCTGAGAGCAGAGGACAGCACTTGCACTGGTGATGCAGCACAGCAGCCCGGGTCTCTGCAACTTCACCCAGCTCCTGACAGGCCTCGTGGAGAAGCCAGACCCCAGCTGTCTATAGCTGACTCTCTGTGTCTCTCCTTGCCTCTGTATCTATTTTTGTCCATTTCTTCTGTCTCTATCACTCTATATAGCTGTTGCTGTTTATCTCTGTATTTCTCTGTTTTCTTTGTCTTTATCTCTCACTGCTGTCACCATGGGGTGCCCTGTGTCGAGGGGGTAACAGGCCTTATCCCCAAGCCCTCCTATTGGGTGGTTTGTTCTCATCTGGGGTGAGAAGGCAATGTAGTACTTGTTTCCCTCCAGTTTGTTCTTGGGCATTGCCTCCTGATACCCTCTGTGCTGTGGGGTCTGCCAGGGTCTGACCATGCATGGATGGGTGTTTCACAGGGTCCATGCATGGTAGGGGTTTGGGGTTTGAGGTTTGAGGGAATTCACACACATGATCAAGGGGGTTCTGGGTGCTCTCCTTTCCCAGTGCTCAGGGCTCTGGGTAGAGTGAGGGATAGTCCCTGAGGGCCTCCTCTTCTTGATGAGGCATGAGGGAGCTCAGTGGCCCTGAGACTATTGCTGGGGATGTGCAGGAGGGCACTGTCAGAGGCACCCACTCCTGGAATGGGGGTGCTGTGGGTACCCGCTGGGGTGGCTGGGTATGGGGTGCTCACCCTGGAAGCGCTTGGCAGCTGCCTCCCGCAACGAGAAGAAAATGTCGCACATGACAGTGGGGCAGCTCACCCCGGATTTAGTGATGACGGTGAAGATGCGGTCCACATACTGCCGAAGGTTCTCCTGGGATGGGACGGGCATTGGGACCTGACCTCTCTGGGGTGAGGAGTGTCAGGGCCTGCCAAGAGGGCAAGGCCAAGAGCAGACACTCACAAAGATGGACCTCATGACAGTGTAGGATGCCCTCCCTTTAAGAGGCACCCACAGTGCACACCACTACCAGGGCCCAGGAAACCCTGAAGTCTGTTCTCTCCTCACCAACACCACTGAGCATGGACTGAAATCTACCAGGATGCACCCAGGCAGAGGCCTGGGCTTCTGCCCACAGATATGAGGAGCATGCCTGACCTGCAGGTGTTGTCAGGGATGCTAGCAACACAAAGGGATGTAACGACCTTGGGGTTTGCCAACATGGAAAATGGCACAGCCCCTGTACCCCATTTGCTTTGAGGCGGGAACAGGGCTCACAACTCATTCCAGCCCTCATGTGGAGCACTGGTGGGAGGGCTGGGCTGGGGAGAGTCCCTTTGCAGCTGTCCCCACCACTAGGACTTGGGGACAGCACCCATGCAGCACAGGTCGCAGCACAGCAGGCACCTTACCATGTTGTTCTCGAGGTTCTCACCATCCTTCAACTTTACAGGGTCGATCTCACAGGGCCGGTGGCTCTGGCATATCTAGAGGGGTGGGTGAAGTCTGCATGTGGTGCACTGTGGCCCTGCCACTGGTCCGCATGTCACAGGCTGCAGCGAGGGTGGAGCCGGGAAACCTGGATGCTGGCCTGGGAAGGCACAGCTCTCCTCACAGCAGGCAGGACTTTCCGGGACCAACTTGCATGGGGCTGGTAGGGCCAACCTTAACAAAGCCTTAAGAACTGGCAAACACTCTATTACTGAGCTACATCCCCATCCCTTTTCATTTAATTATTATTTCGAGTCAGAGTCTTGCTAGTTGCCCAGCCTGGCCCAGCTCTCCTGCCTTGGCCTCCACGCCCAACCAGCTTTTACAATATTTTTACTTCAAAGTTTACTCACAGATCAAACCAGGTGCCATTTTAAATTTGCAAAGAGCCTGCTTTTCACAAAACTCTTCTGGGGATGTGGCCTGACAAGGTGCCAGTGAGGGTCAGGTGAGGGTTGCCACGTCTTTGGGAAGGAATTGCATGGCAAGGATGCAGCAGATGGCCAGGGCCCTGGACAGGCACCAGAACCTGGACACACATGGGCCCGCTGTGTGTGGGAGATGGAAGAATCTAGTCTTCCTTGCATGTTCTTTCCTCTTTAGTAGCACGACGGGTTTTCTCATTTTTTAATTTGAGGAAGTAAGGCAGATTCTGGGACACATATGGCACATTCTCTCCATGACAGCCTATTACATGAGGGCTCTGGGTAGGGGGAAGCTGTGTCCTACCTTCCCTGTCTCTCATGGAGACCCCAGTGGTGGGGACACATGGTAGTACTCACCTCCTCAATGGCAGGCTTCAGGGTGACCTGCAGGTAGTGCATGCCCGCCAGCTTCATTGTCTCATCGATGCACTTGGAGGCCAGCGAGTTCCCTCGGAAGATGGTGTTGGAGTCCCTGGAAAAAAAGGCCAGCATGGTGGCTGTCTCCTCCTTGCCCACGAGGGAAGAGTGTCCCTGAGTGCCTGGTTAGGGCTCCCTGTGCTGACAGGTCATGGCAGGCTGCATAGTGAGCTCTGGGGCAGCCCAGGGTGGCCACTGTCTCCTATGAAGGGGGCTTTGTAGTTAAGGCTGCACCATACCAAAGCCCAGGCAGTTGCAAGGCCAGACAGGAAAGTGGTACTTGACATCCATCCTGCTACTGGCCTGTGGCTCACTGCCTGCACACAGGCAGCCACAGCAGCCCTGTGTCCTGGGATGGCAGCGCCCCATTTTGGGCCCTTGTCTCCTCCAGGTACCCGGGCTCCCCAGCTCATACTCCTGGGGCTCCCAGAGACTCAGTAGTTAGCCTCAGTCAGCCTTTCTGGTGGAACATGAAGGTCACTCTTCTCTCCCATACACCCTGTGGGGAGGGGGCTTTGGAGTTCGGACTTTTACAGTCTGGGCCTAGCCCGACTACAGGCTGGAGAGAGGTGGACAGAGACGGGGCCAGGGACAGGCTGGGGCACTCACTGAGTCCTCTTCACCTCCGCACTGGCAATGGCGCTGATGAAAGGTACCACACGGCCATAGTGCAGCAAGAGCCGCACCAGGGGGACGGCTGCCTCCTGCTTCTCTCTGCATACCTCGCCCAGGATGTGGGCAGCTGACGCTGAGACCGGCTGGGCAGGGGGAGAGTGGGGTCAGGGTGAGCAGCCACCCCTGCACATCCCAGGCCCCTCCATCCCATCAGCGGGCCTACACATGAGGGTGCAAGGCTGCTGCCACTGCTAACCCAGCAGCATGGGGCCCCTAAGCAGACTCTATCTGGGTTACAGCCAGCCATATATCAGCAAATCTGAGTGGCACTGAGCCTGGGGACAGAGGGATGTAGCTCTGGGTGCCCCCCCCTTCCAAGGGGTTACTGGTGGGAAAGAGGCCAGGAAAGGCTGGGGGACATCAACAGTGTCACCAACCAGGGGAAGGAAGCCCAGCAGCAGAGAGGACATAGACGGGCAGGCCTGGACAGGGGCCAGGCATGTTAACAGGGAAATTGATGGGCCTGGTAAGTGGGTGGGACCGCTGAGGAGCAGGAGCCTGGACAGAGGCCAGATGAGTGGGCAGAGCAGTGTTGGGTGTGGCTAGGGCCAAGTAAGTGGGTGGGGCCTGGGCAGGGGTTGGTAGATAGGCAGGCCAGGCTGTTTGCTGAGCAGGGCAGGGTTCCAGGGAGGAGAGGGTTAGAACCTGGACTTAGGGCCCAGCAGGGTGAGCGTGATTCCCACACACACCTCCACATCTGCCGACTTCAGGAGCAGGTCCCGCAGGGGGCTGTAGTAGTCAGAAGAAAACACGTGGTCTTCCGTGTAAACCACATTCAGCCTCAGGGAGCCTAGATCATCAGGCTTTGGGTTCTTGCCGTTGTCTCGGGGCTGGAGGAAGTACCTGGGGAGGACAGCCACAGTGAGGCCATCACTGTCTCTCCAGGTTACTCTCTTCAGGTCCAGGGACTGGAGAGCTGTGGCCCAGGGCTCCCCACAGGCCATGTGACGGTGTGGTCATCCAAGGGTATAGCTGCCTGGGGCAGGCACACAGCCAGACTTGAAAGCTACGGGGTGGTCCAGACAGCAGATAAGCAGAGATGAGAGGAGATGGGAGAGCCTGCTAGGAGGAAGGAAGGCAATGGCCAGCAGGGCCCCACTGCAGCATCTGCCTGTGAGGATGGACAACAAGAACACTGGACAACAAGAACACGGGAGCCATTCTGAGAGAGTGCCACGGGCCTTTTATAAAGGGGCCGGCTGGCTTGCGCTGGCACAGGGATCACTCTGCAGTCCTCAGCAGAACACTCCCTCTGTTTGTCCAGGCTGCACATCCCTCCCTGCCCCACTTCCTGGGCTAGGCAGCTTGAGATCAATCCCTGTGGCCAAAGCAGTCTTTGGTGGGTTTCAGTGGCTGCCTCTGCTGAGGGGCTGGGTATGCCCAGCAGGAGTGGGAGGCCAGGATCCCTGTGCTGGGCTGCCCTCCATCGTAGCATGATAAAGCAGCTTCTGGGGCAGATTCGCCCCCAGTACACACAGTGAAACAATGCACCTGGTGCCAACTGGACACCCGCTGGCATGTGCCTGTATCTTGAGGAAGCATGTGAACAAACACAATAAACCAGAGGTATAGGCCCACACCCAAATGCAGCACCTCTGGAGATCTGCAGAGGTAAAGACACCAAGCAGTGGAGAGCCAAAGGGAGGTGGCTTGGAGGGACAGCGAGGCTGAGACCATAGCTGGACAGATGGCCACGAGGCTGCCCCAGCCACACGTCCTGCAGCAAGGGCTCACAGCTGTCCTCAGCACTAAGCCTGCTCTATTCCCTACCTTAGGCTTTGTGTTACTTCCACTTCAGTGTGCCCAGTGTCACCTATCACCTCTCTCTGGCCTCTCTCTCCCTGCTGAAAAGGCAGAAACTATCTCCAAGCCCAAGCGACTGGCAGCAGGTGCACTGGGCCGAGGGTGGCATGGCACCCTTCCTCCCAGCCTTCTGCCCTTTCTGCCCATGCTGTCCTCCATCCCTGTGGCACCTACCAGGCATCATAGCAGCTGGACTGCTGCAGTACCTTCAGCGGGATCCTCAACTCCCCTAGGAACTCATCACCAAACTTCAGGTTGCTGGCGTTCCAGAGGTCGACTCTGAAAACAAGCAGCACTCAGATCCTGCCCAGTGGGCACCTGCTTCCAGGAGGGCTTGGAGCCCAGCTGCCCATCTGACGTCAGCTGCAGTGATCTCCACGATGCCCACAGTTGTGCTGTGGCAGACACCTGGAATCCTGTGTGGAAGGATGAACAGGGGAGCAGGCAGGACGCAGCCCTGGCTGGCAGCATAGGCAACTGTGGGCCATCACCGCAAGCGACAGAGCCAGACTGCTGCCACTGCTCTGGCATCTGCCTTTACCCTGTGTGACCCATGGCCTCAGATAGGTGAGGGTCTAGGATGTCTAGGGCCTCATAGTGAGCCTGGAGTCTGCCCCAGCACCAGCCAGGCAACTTTCATCTGCTTGGAACAGCAGGTGAAGGCAGCATCTCGTGGGCCAAGTGGCTGGCATGGCATAGTACCTGGCCCAGTGAGGACAGGGGTGCCTATCCTCATCCAGCAGAGCCATGGTACTGGCAAGCCCCTCCCTAAACTGAACTTCTACCTCTGCAGACCGAGTAAGACCTGTGGGAGTCATCAGCAGGACCCTGGGTGGGGTCCCTAGGAGCCAAAGACCACACCGGGGCTCTTTGTGAGGTATCCACACCAGCACTCTTGAAGCTTCCTGGCACAGCAGGGGATGCCCTGACCCTCCTTCCCTGCAGAATGCCCAGCTCCCTGGGACTTGGGCTGTAGGACTGTGTGGTAGGTAGCTGGGTAGACGAAGGGGTTTGCCTGTGCTGAGGAGTCATGAGCTGAGGTGCATGGGATAAGGTCCATCTCATGAGGGTCCAACCAGACATGGTACTTGGGGTGCCACTGTGGGAAGGAACCTTGCCCTCACCAAGCCCCAAAGAAGGGGTAGACAAAAACCACCCAGGATGAAATAGGGCCCCTGACTTCTTACCTAATTTCAAGTTTATCCACATCTTCCTCCTCAAAGTCAAAGTGGGACTTTCTGCTGTAGCTGCAGGGCCTGGTCACCTGGGGCAGATGGACAGAATGCTCCATGTGCAGACCAATAAGACATGTCAGGGAGGGAGGCCGGCGCCCAGCTACTCGAGGACACAACCACAGAGGGAGACAGCAGCGGGTCTGGGCCCAGCCCTGTGTGCTGACCCTGGCTTCTCTGGGACCCATGCGACTGTGGAAAGGCACAGCAGAGGCTGACTCCACTGGGAGGGTTGGGAAGGGAGCTGCTTGGGGCCTGGGACCCTGAGGGCTCTGACTTTGGACTCTGAGGGGGCTTCTGCCCCACCCCAAAGCAGGGAATGCTCCAGGGGCTGGGGAGGCTGGCGCCTCCTGAATCTTCTTCGTGTTCATTATCACCCACAGGAACGTCCAAGAGTCCTGGACACCAGCTCCCCACCCAACAGCCCTAACCCTCAAGAACCTCTTTGGGAGTCCATGCCCAGGGAGGTATCAGAAAACTGAAAGAGCAAACACTGTTTTTCCTCCTAATATTTTAGGGGTTGTGAGCTTCTTAAAACATAAAATCGCCAGCAGGTTCTGGGATTTAGAGGGAGCAGTGCCCCAGCCTCATCCTGCCCACTTTTCAGGGTCAGAAGATTTCAGCTCCAAAACAGAAAACTTTTGTCTATAAACAGACAAAGCTATGCTGCTTACACAGCTTAAACTCTTAAGTCCTAAATGCGAATGTCTGACTAGCAGGGACCACCAGCTCCACAGGCTCCCTGCCTGGCTCTGTCCTGCACGTCCCCGTACCTTGACTGTTTCTGCAGTTGGACCCATCTGACACTGGCCTCTTCTCCATCTGGTACTGGCCAGCATAACACCCAGCCCTGCCTGTCTTGTTCCCACTGTGTCTCCCCTAGAAGCTGACTCCTTCTCAGACTGCAGGTGTCTCTGAAATGCTGCCTCCCCCAGGAGTACCCAGCCTCCTGTCACAACCTATCCACCGAGCAAGACTACACGCTGCCACCCCAGCTCATGCATTCATTGTCTGCCTCCCACTGGTCTGGCCCAGCACCACAACCCCTAGCTGCCTGCCCTCTCCCAGTTGTCTGTGAGGGGTGAAGGTAGCTCTTACAGAACTTCATGTGACTTTACTTGGACACTCAAGGGCTTTTAGGTTATCCTGGCAGAAGGCAGCCTGGGAGTGACTTCCCTTGCTCTCTGGCTCCGCTTCCCCGGGGCTTGCCTTCCCTGGATCAGGAAACTCAGGAAGGGTCCAGGATCATAGCGAGCCTCAGCAGTAGCATCCTAGGCCACAGCTCAGGAGGAGCAAAGCCACTGGGCTCAACAGCAGTCCTGGGCCAGGCCTTCTGGCAGCCTTGTGCCACTGCAGGCCATAGTTCTCAGACTTTTCTGGGGGTCATTAAGTTACCAAGCAGGGGAGATCCACCCCCTCCCAGGACAACAGTGGCTCTTGTCCCTAAGGCTGTGTCCACCACCCTGCTGCAGCCCCACACCCCACGAAAGTGCGGGCTGAGCTGAAACTGAGGCCCTGCCTCCTGCCTACCAGGCCTTGGTTCATAAGAAGTGCTTGGGAGCCAAGGCTGGGAAGGACACCTAGCTGGACGCCCCTCACCCAGACCCATACCAACTCTGCCCCGAGAGGTGCTGGTCCTCTAGCTGCTGGCCCTCGAGCTGCTGTCTGACTCTGCTGCATGTCCCAGAGGCAGCCAGGGAGTCTCTAGGCTGAACCACTTCCCCTTTGCTGCAAACCCTCAGGTTTCCAGTGGAGCAAGCCTTGCTCTGCCCAGGAAGCTGGGGTAGAGCAGCCAGAAAAAATAAAACCTACAACCAGTGAGCCCAGAGCTCTGAAGACCTGGGAGGCACTGACTTGCCACCGTCAGGTAGAACCCAGGCAGCCCAAGGAGCAGCAGCGCCTTCTCTCCAGGGAAGGGGATGTCCCTGGGTGAACGCATCCAGATGGCCTGCGGGCCTGGACCTCTACCCAGGACAACAAGGACTGCTCAGCCCCTTCCTGCTTGGTCTTCAGTGTACTTCCCTGGTTTCCCGACTGGAGCACCAACCTCGAAGTAAAACACCTCATCAAACTGGGGGTTGTTGGTCTTCTTCTTCACTTTTGTCTTTTTGGCTTCTGATCTACAGTCAAACGAGGAAGGGTTAGGCTTAAAAATAACACTGTTAATTCTGAACCTGCCTTAAAATTGAGCTGTCAAATATTACAGCTTTTATTTATCTCATAAACATTTCTGTTTGCCTCCATCTCCAGATAGTATACAAATCAGGAACCTTTATGGAGCCAGAAATACCCAATATGGAGATCACAAAGGCCTTATTCTTCGTAAAGCAATTGCAGACCAATCAAGGAAACCAAAAGAAATAAAAAATGACACATTCCACCCCAACATGCACCTCCTTTGTTCTCCTGCAGGGAGTGCCAGCTGCCTGACTTCTGGGGCTCCCTGTGCCCAGGACCAGAGCAGCACACGGGATAGGCAGGACTGGGACAACTTGCCTGAAAGGTCCAGCCAGAGTCACTGTGGCGTAGGGGTCGCACTGGCCGTTCACTATGGGGAGGCCTTGGCACTCAAGGATGCTGAGGAAACAGAGTATGGGGTCAGGAGAGGCCAGGCAGACCCAGCTCCCTCCCAGCAGGTCTGCGGACCAGAGATGAGTTGGTGTTCCTGAGGTAGGAGAGGCTGTCAGGGGTTTGTACTGCCAAGAACCAACTGCTACAGACGGCACACAGCCTGCAGAGGCTGCTACCCCATTTACCTGGCCATACAGGCACCCAGCTACCCAGACTTGGCAGCAGAGGCCCTGGCCCCTCACTTAGCTGCTGAGTCCCATCTGCAAGAGAAGTCAGATGGTGACAGTTTCTGGCTGTCCTGAAGTTCTGCAATAGTCCCACCAGCATTTCATTGTCATTTCTGTTACTCCTGGTCTGTTTCTGGCTCCTCCCCAGGTTATGGGTCATATTTCCCTCTCCTGGGGGTTGAGCAGGTGCCAGGCATTATGAATTTTATGTGGAAGATCCAGTTTTCTTCTGGGCTCTAGGGACTGTTCAGGTTTTTCCCACTCAGCTGATCACATCACTTCCGTTTCAAGCTTTTTCAAGAATGCTTTTCCTGCTCTAGGATGGTGTAGTCCTCACACAGTGCTGTGCTTCCTGCTGCCTTACCCCAATGCTCTGAGTGGCAATAGGCCCTTTTCTGGCTGGGGGAGGTTCAAAGGGCACCAGTCCCCTGTGAGTACCAGGGAGCCTGTTGGCCTCCACATCACAGACCTGAGCCCCAGGCCCTGCTCAGAGGTGCCAGGTACTAAGCTCCATTCCTTCTCAGAGGGATCACAGTCCCAACCTCAGCATCCCATGTCATAAACAGCTCACACAACAATCCTGGTGGCACGTTTGTGGTCAGAGGAAATCCACGCACACACCAAAACGTCACACACAGAGACAGGTTCACTGGGCTCAGAGGGCTGGCACCAGGCGAGGCAGGTGACCTGTCTAGAACCACAGGAAGCCTGTGACTTCAGGAAGGGTTAGGGATGCCCAGTGCAGTCCTAAACCAAGGCAGAGCCCTCTCTGGCACACAGAGAAGGGGCATGCTTGTCTGTTGAGTGAGAATGGAGACGAAGAGTAGCTGATATGGGGGCACAGACCCTGCAGGACTTGACAGGACAGTGGCTGCATCTCAGTATCTAACCACACACACACACACATACACACATACACATAAAGCTATGTGCATAGTAGACTGGGACTGACCAGCTCCTTCCCCATGGAAACCTGAGGTCCCAGGTTGATGGAGGTTGCCCTTCTCATAGTTGTCCACAAAGTGCTAACCAATCACAGGCAAGGGACACTAAGCCTGCCAGAGATGATGTCTAGGACCAGGGCTCTCTCCTTCTGCACAGTGGGTCTGGAGTGTTCCAGCTGCCCCTTGATGCCTCCTCTAAACTGAGATCCTTGGGGAAGAAGGCCATGGGCGTGGCAGTGGTGACCCTGTCCTATGAGCCATAGGGCAGAACTCTCGTCCTTGCCATTGCAAGCCACGTGGTGAGAGAGGCCAGGAGGGCACCTTGCCCATAACTGCAGGAGGACTGGCAGCCACCAGGGCCTTGGGAGAAGCTGTGGGGTCTAATGAGCTTTGGGGCTCCCAAGTCTGGTGTCGGCCTCCCTGAGCTGGACCAGACCCACATGCCCGTGATGTTTTGCAGCTTCCTCCACGTGTCTCCACATCCTGGATGGGAGCCTTCTCCCGGGACTCCAGAGTCTGCAGCACAGGGCTTGGAACAGACCCAGGTGGGCACAGGGACAGCCCTGCAGGTGCCCACTGCTCCACACACAGCCCCACTCTCCTGGCTGCTCTCCTGCTCTGTTCAAGGAAACAACTTCACATGACTGTGATGCTCAGGCAACAGCCATGCAGATGCCCTGCATTTGGATGCTCCCAGCCACAGCTGGTGTCCACATGGCAGTACATTTAGTTCCTGTTTTTCAGATTAAGAAACTGAGGCAAGAAAGCAAGTCTCTTTGGCTTCTGGCCCAAATTCACTGCTCTTTCCTTTGTGCTGAGCAAACAAAGACCTGGGGATGGCAAAAGGCTCACGTGTCCTGGAAGCCATGGATGCCACCTGTCTGGGCCACCACCAGGCTTCCCCATTTCCTCAACAGAATGGAGCCCAGGCTTCAAGAAGTCTCCTGCCTCAGCTACCCCAGGGCAGGGAGCAGGCTTACTCAGAGGAGAACATTCCACCTGAGCAGGGCTCCTGGACAGCAGGTCCATCAGTGCTAGCGGCTGCTTCAGGGCAGACCCAGGTGGGAAAACTCAGGACCCAGGGCCACAGGCAGGTGACTCATGACCTCAGCCTGAATTCCTGGGGGGTCTGTTGCTCAGAGAGAAGCAGTGGGGGGTCTAGCCCTTTCTATGCCTTGACTTCCACTCAGCACAGCCCCACCTTATAGCTTCCCTAGGAGATTACAGCCTGGCTTGGTCACACCCACACCTGAGCCTGAGAGCCATCTCTGTCCACACCACAGTTTGGGGTCTAGATCCTATAAGCCCAGCCTTAGAGTCTTTGAATATGGCTATAACTACATGCATCCCACAGCACCTGGGATACAGCAAGGAGCTCAGCACAATCAAGAACTTGCATGTGCCCACAGGAGTCCAGGGCAGATGCCCACCTCTCCCTGCCCTGTGCATACTCCATAGCCCCAGCAGTCCCAGGGGCACCCAGCACCACAATGTATGGTTTCACCTGGGGCTGTGGAGCACTGGGGGCCATTGTGGGAGTGGAGGATCCTGCTCATCCACCACCTACCTCAGGGGAGGAGAGTGTGAAACCCCAACAATGAACTCAGCTCTGCACGCACCCTGCTCAGGGGAGTCGCCACCCAATCACACTGTAGCACATGCCTTGCTTAAAGAATGTTTCTGGGAGAGAGAAGCCCCACCTCTGCTCGCTGAGGGTGGCAGGATGGTTCCTCTGGTGGCTTGAATGTGTGCCCAGTAGCTCCTGGGTCAGACACAACCCCCATAGCCAAGTGTTGGTGTTACTGGTGGCCCAGGAGATGACAGGATACCTGAGGTCATGAGGTGGGGCTAGATGCCCCAATGGCTTCATGAGCAGAGGAGGAGACCTGAGCTGCCACCACTGTCCCAAGGGGAGGCCTTAGCCTTGGTGGGATAAGCCTGAGGCCCTCACCAGAACCAAGGGACACATCAGCTGCTCTATGCACATCCCCTGGCTAGGGCACTTTGTTACAGCAACAAGAACAGACTGCAGCGGCCCCATCACCGGTACTTGTGCCTGCACTCCTGACACAGAAGACGCCCAGCCACCCTTCTACTTGGGCCATGTCCCGTTGTCCCCACCTGGGCCCACTGTGCAGGGAAGAGGCCAGTGAGTTCTGGGGGCAGTGAATGCAGGGGTGTCATGCTTGGCACCCTCAGGCACCCAAGCAGGAAGCAGGGCCTAGGGGAGAAGCATCGCCAGAACCCCAGCCTAGACCTGCTGCCCATGGTGCACATCTTACCGCGCAGCGAGCTTGTGGCAGACGGCGCCCGTATCAGTGATGACTTCACTCAGCCTCAGCTCCAGGTGCACCTTTCCCTGCAAAGGACAAGGGAAATTCGGAGCAGGGCACAGCTGGAAGTGAGGGGGCATGGCCCACGAGAGGGCAGAGCTAGGGTGGAAGGGCACATCTTGTGGAAGGGCTACCCAGTCCCTGTGGCAGCTAGGCTTCCAGCCCACCGTGATGTACACCCAGAGGTTGGGTGCTAAGAGGAGGTCGCTGCAGGCCATGAAGTTTCAGAGTGAGTGGTCCCGAAGTGCCAGACCCTGGCAAAGCAGCCGCAGATGCGCTACATGTCCACTCATGACACACAGCAGTTGGGTCTAGCCCAAGGCAGGCATGGGCAGAGGGAAGGCTCCAGGGACCTTCCTGGCCCACCTTTGCCTCCCCCCAGGAAGGTAGGGGACCCCAAGTCCTGTTCCCATGCAGAAGCTAACATCCTCAGTGCTTCCAGGAGTAACACCCTGCTCTGGAAAGGATCACGAAGGGACACACAGTGTAATGTGCATGTTAAGCCTTCAGTTTTTGTAATCAGAAAGGGAGGCCAAGTTGGACATCCACCAAGGGCCTTGAACCTCCTCTAGGGAGGGACCCTTTAAATGCTGCCTGGTTGTGAGTCCAGGATGCCATGTGACCAGCCAGCCTGGATTAAACTGGTGGCAGCATGAGAACATACCTGTGGACCCATTCTGGGACTTGTCCACCTTCACCTGCTTAGGACCTGCTGGGAGGAGAGGGTGCCGGCCATGGCCATGGTGGACAGAGGGCAGGGACTGGGTTTACCTGTTCTAGCCTCAGGAAAGGCTAGACCTGCCCTCCTGGATCTTCCCCACCTGGGCAAGGCCAAGAGCAATGGATGGTATGGTGCCCAGCGCTGGGACACGAGCATTACTTAGGGGCATCCTGTGGCAACACACACTGCTTGCCATACCCGTGAACAGAGTCGTCCACACTGGGGGATGATTTGGCCTGGGACATTCTGGGCCATGAAGGCTGCTGGGCTCTGCTTGGTGAGCACCTAGTTGCTGAAGCCCACTTGGCTCTCACAGATCCTGCTGGAGCATCCAGCAGCACCTGGCAAGCACTCTGGTGTCCAGTGACATCCCTTCATGTCCCCAGGCATGAACCATGGGCACAAAACAATAGTAAGTCCATTGCCACTAGCCCAGAGGACAAGGCCTCCCTGCTGTTGTTCTGCTCTGGGGTCCTGTGCTGGGCCCAGACTCTTGACCTGCAGAACCTCAGGGACCAGTGGTAGGTGGGGTCAGGAGGCTGGGCACAACCCCTTCTGGCTCTGTGGCTGAATTGGTGACAGCCACGAGGACAGGCATTTGTGGCTCCCTTTCTATACTGAGCCTAGTAGCTCAGAGATTGAGATCACGGCCATGATGCTTGCTGCCCTAAGACGTGGTACTGCTTCCTTAGGCCAAGAGTCCTTTAGGACCCAAGCCAGGCCAACACACAGGACCAAGTGAGCAGTTTGCTATCAGAGGACAGCACTGACCACAAGTGCCAACCCTTACTTTGTAATTCTGTGATCTGCAAGGGTGTCAGGCAGAAGGGCCGAGAGCTAGGTTTTGTCCAGGGTCCTTTGGAAAGCCAGAGACTGCGTGGGGGTGGGGAATGTGGAAGGTCCCACTACCAACAGCACAGTGGCAGCTTCCTTTTCGTTTCCTGTTTTCCCCAAGCAGCCCCTGGCTTCCTGCGCCTTTCTCACTCGGCACACACCATAGGATGGAGGCTTGAGAGGCAAACAGCAACACTGCACATCCTGACTATGGCCCAGGGGGCCCTGCGGATCCATGGGCCAGCACTTCCAGTGTTCTACCAGCACCCAGGGCCCCCTTCCTGCATGAGGTGGAGGTTGGGGCACTACCTCTCATAGGCAGGTGACCCGACCTTAGCACAAACAACTCAGAACAAAAACACTGCTCTTGGGGTCACGCCCTCGGTTTCAGATCAGCAGAAAACACTGCATCCTGGCACACACCTGGGCATGTGGCTTCACAGCCAGGGACAGGCACCACCCTGCAGAGACAGAAGCCTGGCTCTGGTCTCTGCGGGCGCTTGGTTGGGGCAGGAGCTGCAGGGATCTCGTGCAGCCAGCCTCCTTTCTCATATTCACCCCTGCCTTCGATGCCTGCCTGTCTGCAACACTGCCCAGTGTCCCAGCTTTTATTTTGGTTGTGAGAGAAGCAGCAGGTACCACAAAAGAAAGTGCTGTTGGCAGCTTTTCCTTCCCAGTTTATTAAGGGACTAAAGACATCAAGAAGCTAACATGGCCTGGGTCACAGATCAGTGGTGAGTGCTTGCCTGCAAGGCTCTGGGCTCCACTCCAGCTCCAGAGAAAGAAAGTTGAAGCAACAGGGAAGTGAATAGCATCATGAAGCAAGCAGGGCTGACTGTTGTCCCCTGATCACCTCACCCACACAGAGCATCGCTCAAGCTCACTGGGCTGCACTGTCCCTGCCAGACATGTGTGGAAGAAGAAGCCTCTGTGTCCTCTCAGTTCCTCCACACAGGAACTCAGCTCAGGATCCAAATGGAAAGGCAGATGAGAGTCCTCAAGTGCTTGGAGATTAAGCAATGCACTTCTAGGTATCACATGAGTCAAAGAAGCCTCCAGAGACACCCTTACAGCTGTGTCTACATGTCATCTCAAAGTAGTCACAGGTGGGGCTTTTTCAGAGGTGGCTGAATCTAGAGTCTGTGATTGAGCTCAGCAGCACAGCGCCTGCCTGGCAAGCACAAGGTTGTGAGTTCAATTCCCGGTACTGGAAGAAAAAATAAAAACAAAAAAACCCAAACAAAATAGAGTGTGTGATTGATTCTTGCTGCAATGCTAGGATTAAGGGTGGGTGATTACTAAATCAGTCCACTGATTAAGTTGGCACTACCCTAATCCTAGTAGCATCAATACGATATAAGGGACAGAAAGAGATTTATTTTCCCCTCTTGCTTGCTTTGCTACCTTCTGTCCACCATCAACTGTTCTCCTCTGTGATGTTTGTCTGCCATGTCACTCTGCCTTACAGCTAGCGGATTGTGGACTGACACCTCTACAAACTGTGAGCTAAATAACCCTTTCCTCTCTTAACTTGTAGGTGTTGGGTATTTTGTCTCAGCAATGTGAAGAGTAACTAAGACACTTAGATGAAGTGTGTAACAAAGGAAAATAAAATAAACTTAGAATGTGTGGGACGCAGCAAAAGCATGGCTGGGAGGGAAATTCAGAACATAGCCAAACACACAGAAAGGAAGAAAAATCAGAATCAATGATTTCCACTAGAAAGGAGGTTAAATTCACAGAAAGCAAAAGAAAAGAAATAAAATTTAGATCAGAAATCAATGAAACTGAAAACAGGAAATCAGAAAACCATCAAGACCAAAATCAGATTCTCTGAACAGATCAACAAAGAGATAAACCTCAAGCCAGGGTAACCAGGAACAAAAGAGAAGCCGTGGCTTTCTAAGATCAGCAGTGAGAGGTGCCAGTGAGGACCAAGGCCTTGCCTGATGACAGCTGTGCATCAGCACAAGCCACAAGAGGGGTGGGCAGGGCTGGGACAAGGCCTCTGGGCCTGTTAGTTTTCCTGTAAACTTAAAACTGCTCCGAAACCAGAGTTTGTTAGTTTACAAAGAACCCCTACTTTTCTCAGGAAGGTCCTCCCCACACAAGGGCTACTCCGAGAAGCAGGAACAATCCTGGCCCAGCCCCAGACTGCTATGGGCTCCATATGGGGGCCTCCCTCTGACCTGTCTCCACCTAAGTGGCCACTGGTTCTTGAAGTGAGAAGATGGAGCAGAGGGTAAGATGAAGACTAGGAAGGTAGAGCTTGGTCTTCTGCACCCCCTCAAGCCCTCAGAGCCATCCAAAGGCCTAGGCCCTAGACTAGGGACATGTGCCATTGTCATTCTGGGTTGTCGGACTCACGAAAGGCAAAATCCCCCAAATTTCTACCCCATCACTGGCTCTTGAGCCATATACCTCGAGGGTGGTGGCTGCTGATCCTGCATGCATCCCAGGCCAGTTTATACACATGGACTGTCCTGGAGGGGGAGACAGGAGCACGCTTGGGACCTTTAGAAAAGACACCAGTTCCAGAAGAAGCAGGCCATCATAAGCTGTCTTTCCCCATTCCTGTGATGCTAACCAGAGTGTGATGGTCTTTGTGGACATGGGTCTCCTTGTGCCATACAAAGCAGACAGATGCAGGGAGCCACAGCTGCCCTCCACCCAGTAGGAAACTATGAAAGTGACATTTCAAAATGAGAGGTGGCTGAAGAGCAAAAATGTGATTTCAACTTAAAGGTCAGACAGAGAGGCAAGAAGCTGCCTCCTTATCCCGGTTACTTTGTAGGTGAGAAACTTTCAGAATGAAACACCAGATAAGCACTAAGTGTAGCACAGCACCCATCAGGGTCCTTCCAAGGGTTCTTCACCTCTCACCACCCAGGCTCCCAGGAGCCCAGCAGGGCTGGGTCCCAATCTTTATCACAAACTCAGCGGAGGGCTGGACCTGCCTTCCATGCTGTTAGGAAACATCTCGCCAGCCACAAAACTCCCATGTGTGTCCAGTTACAGCTCTGTGGTGATGCAATGGTTCCAAATCATGACTGTGGCAATGACACAAATCTACACACAGGATGAAGCTGCCCAGAGGATCCAGTAGCCAAGCAGTGGACATGAATTGTGGTGAGCAAATACAAAAACTGACCTATCTATGCACTGAATATAACTCAGCCCAAGAGGGAAGGGAATCCTGACCCAGGCCACACCTGATGAGTGGACAGACACCAGTTCACACAGCAAGGGCTATAGGTCACTCATGTGAGGCCCCATGTCCACCAGGTAGAGCAGCCATGTCCACCAGGCAGAGTGGCAGGTGCTGGGCATCAAGCTCCAGTGGGGGAAGATGGCCAAGTATGTTGAGGGATGATGATGAAGGATACACAGCCATGTGAATGTACTAGTGCTGCAGAACCAGACTTAGAAATGGTTAAAACAGGGGATTTGCCATTGTGTTTCACCACAATAAAAAACTGGGGAAAAAATTACATAGAACACACACCCATGCAAAGTGGTGAGATCAGAACAAAGTCTATAGACTGTGAACTCACAGAGTTACGAGGTGGAGCCCTGGGGACGGGCCCTCTGATGTCTGTTCTTCCGGAAACACACAAACTTGTTGGTCATGATTCCCTGTCTAACATCCCTTGGATCTGTAACCATTTCAAAACTAAGCAGGCAAAAAATAGGAAAAGACACACTTGCCAATAAAGCCAAGCAAATCTGGGAAATGCCACCAAGAAGTGGTCCTGGGGACGTCTGCAGCTGTGCATAGCACAGGTCTCATCCTGGTGCTAGAGCTGCAGGTGTGGATGAGGCTGAGAAGAGGATGCTGCATTCTGTAGCCCATCTTAGCTGAACTCTGAGGTTCTCAGCCCCAAGCCAAGCATGGGCAGGGTGGCTGCTGGCCACTTGCACCATCTTAGGCTCTGCACTCCGATCGGGGTACAGTTGGTTCTCCATTCAGTATGGTGTCCAGCATGTAGGCTATGGGCCCACGTTTTCCTGGGAGGCACAGCTCATAGGGGAAGCACGAGTCCATGTGTCTGGTGAGGGGCAGGGACTCAGGCCCAGCTCAGCCCAGTCCTTGATTCTGCCTGGGCCTCTCCATGTTGTGGATGGGCTCTGCCAACTCCAAGGACAGAACCCAGGGCCATGGGAATCTCAGTAGCCTAGGACCTCAGCAGTGACCATGAGCCCAAGCCTTTACCTGTGGAAGCCAGCTGAGCAAGAGGGTCTTGAGGACGGACGCAGGCGGGCCACACGTAACACGGAGCATGGAACTGCTTTCACTGATGTCTTAGGCAAGTCCTTGCAGGTACCTATTTAGGTGATCTGTCTGTGACACCACCTACCAGGTGTAAAGTTGCACCCAATGTGCCCCTCAGCTGTATACACATTGGCCCAGCCTGCAGGGAACTTACTTTACATAGGAGATAGCTTGTAGGGGATAGCCAGGCCATAGCAGCCTGGACACCAGGCTTACAGCTAGGGACAGTTCCTGCCAGTCACTGTGTTGACAGGGAGGCACCTGCAGTGTGAATGCCTGTGTGTGCACTGCTGGCTGCTCAACTGGGTAGGGCCCTCTGTAGCTGCTGCTTATCCTGGGCCAGAGCTTAGGGTGGCCCATGGGGTGGTGACAGTGTGGGCCCAATGTGTGACTCAATGTACCCCTTTACAGGCAGCCTGAGAGGACCTCAGCTGACATGTATGCCCCTGCGGCAGCTCCCTCAGGGCCTAGTACCCACACCTGTTCTGCAGGCACCCAGCATTGCAGGTGCTGGGGTACTCAGTCCAAGGAGCCCGGTGGAGGATAGGAAGCTGGGGACTAGGTCCTTGAGCTTGAGCCCTGCTTTAACTCCCCATAACTGCCTGTCATCTGGTCTGCTCTTTACCTTCGCTGATTTCCTGCCCTGTCCCTTTATCTGAGTTTGAATTTATGTCTTCTGCCTAAAAGTGCAGCAATAACCAAAGGAAGAAAAAACTAAGAAGCTTTCATCTAGAATCTCAGCACAATTCGGAAAGTGCACATTTCCCAGCTATTGTGCCTGTGAGGCCCGAAGCCTGAGCTCTGTCCTCACCTTGGACTCAGCCCACCCCAGCCTCACCTGCACTTCTGAGTCAGCATCCACGTGCTGCAGCTGGAACCAGGTGTCCCTGTTGTGGTACTTCTGCAGGTCCTCCTTCCTGATGGCCACCTTCCCTGGAAGCACATGTGGAGAAAACTCAGAGGACACTCAGCCCATGGGGACAGGCACTCCACTGGCTATCAGACCCACAGGGACACCAGGCTAGGCCACAGCCCATCCTGCAAGTTCACTGCATGTAGCATTCCACGTTTCAGGGCACCCCTCACCGTTGCTCTGTGGTCTCTTCAGAATCTGCTGACATAGACACACTGCCTGCCTGTATACTACCTTCCTGCCCCATGTGTCATCTCAGGCAGTGCGCTAGGCGCTGAGAATGGCCTGCCAGGACCAGGGAGGGGGATGGTGGTCACAGCACCTGCCTGTCTATGTGTCCTCTTCTCCAGACAGAGCCAGAAGCAGAACTTATTTTGCAGGTGTGTGATGCTTCGGTAGGAATGTTTGTTGACAGAAGCTACACGGTGGAACACATGTGTGTATCTAGACACATGCATGTACACACACACATAGCATGTGTGCATGGATGGCAGGTATGCCTAGAGGACAGGGGCCTTGATAGCTCCTGTAAGCTTTGGGTCATTCACAGTGACAATGGCTATGAGGTACAGCTGGGGTGATCTGCCCTTCTGCCACAAATGTGGGTCTCACCTTCAGGCCAGGGGACAGCTCATCATGGCCAGGGCATGGCCTGTGAGGCCCGACTTTAGAACAGCCTGTTGTGGCTAGGTGACACCTGGTAGGACAACCTGTCCTAGGCAAGGGACACCTGGAAGGACAGCCTGTCTCAGTCAGGGGACACCTGGAAGGATGGCTCATCATAGTCAGAGGACACCTGGAAAGACAGCCTGTCCCAATCAGGGGACACCTAGAAGGACAGCCATCACACCTAGGGGAAACACAGCAATGTGGCCCATCACAGCTGGGAACATTTGGAAAGACAGCCTGCCATAGTCGGAGGGTTCCCTCCATGTAGCAGTCAGAAACACAGGGCTTGTCCAAGTCTCCTTCCTCCCTTCACCATCCTATTCCTGAGGGATGCACCTTGATTTCTCCACTGCTGGTCACACACCCCTGGCCACTCTGCAGCCTGCTGAGAAGGCACTCTCCCTTGTGCTGTGCCTCCTCTGAGAGCTGCTGTGGGCTCTTGTGAAACTCCGAACTTTGCCTCCAGTGGGATACAATTTTTTATTTTCAAGTCTCACAGGGATAAGGTCAAAGTTTGGTAAGACTGAGCTGGGTGACCTATCTCTGTGAAAAAAGAATAATGATATTGTCAGGCTCTGTGAGAAGTCCAGCTGGAAGATGGGTCACTTCTGAAGTCTGAAATTCCAAGGACAGCCTTATTTCCCATTCTCGCGAGCTGAGCCAGCTCCAGGCACCATTCTGTTTAACGCTCATATGCATCCTGGAACTCTCATCACTACTGGTCTCTTTCTAGAAATACTCCATTTAATTTTACAACAGCAATAGGGAAACACAGAACAAAATTCCAAACCTTCCAAAAGATATAAAACTGTCAAGAATGAGTCTCCCCCTAGCTCCCAGCTTGGGGTCGTCTGTCACCCATGTCCAGGCCATCTGGAGGTCTCGCAGTGGGCTGCCTTGAGGGAGTGGAACTGTGCTCCCAAGGTGGGGGCAGTGCAGAACCGTCCCACACGCATGTTCCTTCACAAGGCTGTCTCCTGCTTCTCTGCCACATTGAGACGCAGCCAGGCCCTTGTCAGACGTGAGCCACACCAACCTTTCTACTATAAAGTTCCAGCCATGGGTATTTTGTGACAAAACCCAAAACAGATCAGAACACCTGTTACCCAGGTGTAGGGAGTGGCTAAAGCTGGGGATCAATCACACATGCAAGGCGAGTCACAAAAACAAGCTGTTCCAGCTTAGAGAAGGGAAGGTGCTCAGGAGAGCCAAAGTTGCTAGGCAGAGGGGTTGAAATTGACATCAACCTCCTGAGAGTATAAATAAACTGCTAAGGTGGTTGAGCGGTTCCTTTTCCTCTCAGCCACAGAGAGGGCTCCACCCGACCTCAGCTTTCTGTATATTGTCTCTTATCTTTATTTCTCCACCCTCTCGACATCCCCCCACAAAAAACTTCAGGAACTGCACTTGATATGGCATATGGCACCTGGACAAGGGACTAGGGTGTGAAGAAATAGCGGGTGAGGGGATACTTCTCATTGTGTGTGCAAAAGGGGGAGAAGTGCATTGATAGCGTCAATATTAATCACAAAGGTGTATGGACACTGGTATCATCAGGTGTAAAACATGGGGCAAACAGTTCTCAAAGAACATGTATATAGAAATGATGTATATAGATTTATGTAGAAAAGCTTGTTGTATTCTTGATTCCTGTATTACTTCTGTGGATTTTGTATTAGGGAGTGTTTTAATGGTTGTAAGTTTGTTGGGATGACCACAAAGGATTTGGCTTGGAACACTATTTTAAACTCAAATCCTGAGCAGAAAAAAAGATGGTGGAACAGCTCCTCCAAAAGAGCTTAAACCCTTAAGGAACTGGAGCTTAAGGAGCTTAAGGAGCTGTGGGAGACAAAAAAGAAGTAGCTAAAGCATGTTTAAATCTGGAGGAGTTATTTATTGTGGAAGGGAAATTTTTTGACTTGTGTGTGGATCAGGTCGTCTATGCAGCTGGCTCAGCACAGCAGTGTCGCAGCAGGAGGGGATGGGTCAAACACAGAGAGGGCCTCGCACTCCAGTCCTAGGCTGACTCAGCCAGGCTGCCCCAGCACACCTGCCAGCCATGCCCATGGCCCCTCCACTCAACACTCAGCTCGGAGCCATAAGAACCACAACAGCCCACATCAGAGGAGGGAAAAAAGCAGTGGCTATAGCTGCAGAGCTGTGACTGCTGCATCCCCTGGGGAGGTGGGGGCCACCCCTGGCAGCGAAGTGGGTATTGACCCCCTCCAGGTCACAGACACAGAGGGGTTGGTGCCAAAGGGTGGGGCCGAAGGGAAACAGTTCTCCCCTCAGGCTGATGAGCCGGGGCCAGCAGGGGAGCTTGCCCACAGCCCCAAGGTGGCAAGATGGGAGCCGTGGCCTGAGGTGGGAGTGGCAAGCAGAAGCCTTAGTAAAAATACAGGGTTTTTTTTTTCCACACTTAAGACTGACAATGGCCCAGCCTACACAGTCCTGCCTTCCAAACGTTTTGTACAACTTTTCATATTTCCCTTACTACAGAAATTCCTTATAATCCTCAAGATGTAAAAATTGTTAAACATACTCACTGTATGCTCAAAATTTAATTACAAAAAACAAAAGGGGAAATCAGTCCTTCCCTACAAAATTTACACCTCCTAATAGACCTTACTCAGCATTGCATACTATTGAATTTTAAAATAATACTAGGGATTAAACTACAGCAAAAATACAATTCAATCAGGTAAAACAAAAAAAAGCTAAGAAGGGTCCTTTGGAAAGATCTTCATACTGGACAATGGAAGGGACCCAGCCCACTGCTAATTTGAAGCTAAGGGTATGCTTGTGTCTTTCCAGAGGATGCTGAATGGCCTATCTGGGTGCCTATCTGGGTACCACAGCATGCTGTCCTGCTGTACCATGGACCCAGGCCTGGAAAAGGAGCTGATTCTACCTTTCAAAAAGCTGATGCTCAGTCCTGACAGTGATACCTTGAAGACTGCTCTACAGCCAATAGACTAGGGTGGGGCTAGACCCAACCTGGGGCCAACTGAAGAAATTGACCCAGGGTGCCCAGGAGATTGTAATCAAAACTGGGAATCAAAGGTCTAAGTCGCTGGTAGAATGTATAGAATCCTATCACCTACTGAAAGGTGCCAATATTCTTCAAACAAAATACAAAAAATTATACATTAATTATAGATAAAAGATTTTGTTCCTTCCAAATTCTTCTTGTAAGAGATCTCTGTTAATTGACCTATATACAGAACAAAAATTCTGACTAGTCTATTTACAATTACAAACTTCTAAAATTGTAAAAGGTTATCATAATTCAACTTTGCCAAAAATATATTTGAGTGCACTCTGGTGTTATAGGCAGATTGTCTGTGTATGCTTTTTTGTCTATTTGTCATATCTGTGAGCAGCCGTTTTTTATTTGAACTCAACAATTTTTCTCTTTTCCTTTTTTCTTTTGCATTTTTGGATCATTTGTTCGTAATACAATTTGGGTTATCCATTTAAAAGCATGCTTCCACCTGGGCTGCCAACTGGTCAAAATGATATCAGATTTGGTTTTTTCACAAGTTGTCAAAAATTATTAAGATAATTAAACAAAAATCTCTTGAGGTATGGAGAGACTATTGGACAGAACTTCAATTGATGAATAAAAAAGGAGCTGCCTGGATAATGATCCAGTTCTTATTTATTAATAGGAAGCCCCAATGATCTCCATAGCCTTATGGGAGACACCCCAATAAATGCTATTAAAAATACATTATTGTGATATGTTTACATTGCTCATTCATCCAATGATTAAGTTTTTTAGATAATAAGATTTTTCATTTAAAGATGCTCTGGTACAAAGGTTTTCATATGGCTATGATGATTGTTACTGTTTTTGTACTGTTTTGTTTTTATTTTTGTCTTTTTTTTGAGACAGGGTCTCACTATGCAGT